CAGGGGAAGCGGATTCTCCTCTAACAGACACTTTATGCGTGCACTTGTTTGTGCTTTTATTTTGGAAAAAAAGTATCGACACATATTTAAAGAGTGTCGATACATAATGTAGACATATTTGCTAATTAACCGATATATTTTTACCGGTTACATTGTAACCTGTTAATAATTATTGGTTTCAATGTATTGAGATCGATACTTTTTATAAATGTATCGACAGTTTATGTGTACACCTCGTCTGGACAAATATATCGACACAAATTTAAAGAGTATCGATACTTCATAGGCACTATAACTTCTTCTCTTTTAAATTCCAAAAGTGTCGATACTTATATTAAAGTATCGACACTTTCAACATATCCGGTAGTTCTTTATCGGTTTTGTCATTTTGAGATTGATTTTGTCATATTTTTAGTTGTTATATTGTTATGGATCAATACATTTTCATAAAGTATCGACACTTTTTAGGCGCTATAACTTCTTCTCTTTTAAATTCAGAAAGTGTCGATATTTATATTAAATTATTGACACTTTCAACATATCCGATAGCGCTTTACCGGATTTGTCATTTTGGGACCGGTTTTGTCATATTTTTACCTGTTATATTGTTATGGATCGATACATTTTTTTTAAAGTATCAACACTTTATAGGCGCTATAACTTCTTCTCTTTTAAATTCCAAAAAAAATCGATACTTATATTAAATTATCGACACTTTCAACATATCCGATATTTTTTATCGGTTTTGTCATTTTTGAGACTTGTTTTGTCATATTTTTAGTTGTTATATTGTTATGGATCAATACATTTTTTTAAAGTATCGACACTTTATAGGCGCTATAACTTCTTCTCTTTTAAATTCCAAAAGTGTCGATACTTATATTAAATTATCGACACTTTCAACATATTCAATATCGTTTTACCGGTTTTTTCATTTTGAGACCGGTTTTTTCATATTTTTACCTGTAATATTGCTATGGAGCGATACATTTTCTATTTGTATCGACACAAACCGAAAAGCTAAGTTTGTCGGTTGCCAAATTTTTTAATATTTCATTACGATTTAGACCTACTACATTATTATTACTCAATATTTCCGGTAGCGCTAAACCGAATTTATTAAATATATCATAATATATTCAGTAACGTTATATATTAACCGTATATTAACTCGCTTTTCCTGAGACAATCTCCATGTGACGAAGGTTTCGAAGCTCGAATCTTGCTAAAGGTTGAGTTTTCTTGGTAGTACATAGTGATCATCAGAATTTATTATATATGCTCACAAGGTTTGCCTAACATTGATAGGAAGATAGTCAGAGTAGATACTAGTCGTCCACATCACAATTTATCTTGTTCGGACGTACGGTAAAATGGGAGATGTCACCTTTCAATGCAACCTTTTTGCTACTTCCATAGCCTATTTACATTATGGTTGATTAATATTTGCGGTCTTTTTTGTTTTCGATATGTTTTATTTTAATCACTGATTTTGAAACGATTATGTCTTGATCATTTTCTATGCATCTTACTTTCTTCAATAAACCGTTAACTCTTGTTAATTTAATGACATGACATGTTAATAAAAATATTTTAAATTTTAACTTGAAGTCTTGAACCTTATATTTTGAATATAACTTGACCCGTTAGTTTCTTTACAGGCAAATTAAATTTACTTATTATAATCCAATTTTTTAGTTTAATCGTTTGTCTTAAATTTGTCGATACCTATTAATAATTTTTTGTTACTCTCCTCGTTCTAAGGTTTTGTCCTGACTAATCAGTACCGACCCACGTCGCACACTTAATTTTAGTGGGTGAGTCTCCCAATAGAGATTTTCTGCAGACACAATGACTCAATTTATAATTCGATTAAGATATAAGAAATCTATTTGAGTAATAAAATAAAGACATATTTTTACGATATTTGAATTTAAGAATAATTACCTAAAAATCAGTTTAGTGATCTCAGTGGTTAAAGAGATGTTATTCTTTCTTAAGATTTTAAGTTCAAACAACTGTGTTTATAGTACGAATTATCTTGGTGATTAATTGATTCATTGTTGTTCCTAGAGGTCATGTGTTCGACCATCAGTGATTGTCGCAGTGTGATTGAGTATTTATTGTCAAATAATAGAAAGTGTTTAGAGAATATACTACTTTGATAATCATCTTAGCTTAATAAAAAAATTATGTTTATAAAATTTGTATACGTTATCAATTATTAAAAATTATAAAAAAAATATTACATTGTAATCATATATTTTTATATAACAATCGATATCCGATCTATTAATCGATTAATCCGGATCGAGTACTACAGAGGCAAGGTAATTCTTCGAGTCCTTAACATGCTAAAGGGATCTAATGCTTCATCCCATTAGATAAATTTATTGTTTGTAATCACCTTATAATCATATTAAATTATCTTAAAATTTAATTAAGAAAATCAATATCATCAAACTTACATTTTTTAAATTTATATTCCCTGTGGGCGTCATGTGGGTGTGGTACGCTACTTGATTTCTCTCCCATTTTTATTTAGCAACTTGACGATTTCAAGCACAATTGAAAATATCGGCTATTTGTCGGCCGGTCGGTCCATTTGAGAATTATAAATTTGTTTGATACAGTTGGAACCACTTACAACGAACTAAAAACACAGTTTTTTAAAGAAAAAAACGATTTATGTGTGTCGAAAATTATAATTTATAAATTATCAATCAAACTAAAATAATTTAAAACATTGTTAAAAATATATGAACATTGAAAGGGTTTACGCGGAGAGGTGACAATTGAATCATTAAGATTAGATTTGAGTTGGGTCATTTTAAGTTTGGATTGCACTCGATTTAAGTTTAGTTTGAATCAGATCAGATCTAATTTGAGTTTAGTTTGGATCAATAAAAACTCATTTTGTGTTGAGTACTGGGTCAAGTTAAAATCGATTCGGTTTAGTTTTGGATCAGATTGATATCAGATCGGTTGACTTCGGATTGGGTCAATATCAGATTAGTTGATTTCGATTCGGATCAACCATTAGACTTTCGAATTAGTTCGGGTCGATTTCAATTCGAGTCAACCTTTAGATTTTTCGGTAAACCTTAAAATTTTTTGATCAACCTCAATATTTTCATATCAATCATTGTCACTTTTTGTCGTCATAACTTTTGAAGTTGCTCTTTACTACTTATTTCAAGAATTTTATGTGAATATATATTGTCACATCTCATATTCAGAGTTAGAAATTTTAATTTAAATCAGTCGAACTAATTTCTTTAAAATAATTTTTTTAATGTGAATAAATATTATCATAGTCTAAATTCAAAATTAGAAAGTATTGCATCAGACATAGAGATGATATTTTAATTGAGAAAAGATTTTATTTAACCATTAAACTATTATTAAAAGTGTTGCCTAACTAGTAGTATAACATAAAATGAGAATAAATAAATAAATAAATTATTCATTCAATTATACTCAATTATTGGGTTAAAATTGGGTCAAAGTTCACTTCGGTTATGGGTAAAATAAATTCAGATTAATTTCAGTTCGGGTTACTTTTGATCCAACTAAAATTCATGTCGATTACGATTCGATTCAAGTTATTGTAAATTTCGGATTAATTTTAGGCTATCTTATTGGAGTATATATCGAATCTCAATTTAAATAAGTTAATTCAAGTAATCGATTACGGGTTAAATTTATTAGGTGTATTTAAATGATATAAATTATTCTACGGATTTGTAATAAAATAGGAGAAATATCAAAACTAAAGAAAAACGACGTGGGAAATGTTATTATAAATGGAAGAAAGTTTATTGATATATATTTATAACTAACAAAAGGTTATAGTTTTATGGGTAAACTACGAATTTAGTACCTAAACTATTAGTTTTATTTCATTTTAATATATAAATTTTAAATTTTTCAAAAAACATACTAACATTTAGTTTTTATTTCATTTTAGTACTCGTCATTAAAAATTTAATGCGTTTAGTACCTAAACTATTAGTTTTAGTCTATTTTAATACCTTTAACTTTCATTTGTTTTCAAAACTTAACGTTCAATTTTGAACAAGGGTACTAAAATGAAACAAAACAAAACTTTAGATATGATTTTGAAAAAAATTAAAAATTTAGATACTAAGACAGACCAAAACTAACAGTTTAAGTACTAAACACATAATTTACCCTAGATTTATCAAATGAAGCAAAATATAATAACTTTACCAAGACAACGTATAAAAATAAAAATAGATTAATCATATTATTTAATTATTTTTTAAATAATCTCATAAGAATATATAGATTAATTATTAAAGAATAAACGATATCATACATAAAAAAAGGTTAAAAATTTAACAAAACTATTTTAAAAAATTAATAGACAGAAACAAACACTTCTATAAATAATGAGGAATAAATAACATCAAACTAATCTAAAAATAATTATAACTTATAATAAAGATTGTATATTAATAAATTGATTTTACAATTCGAAAACGATATATCTAGAATGATTACGAGTATCTATTAATATAGAAGAATCGATATTAAGATTTAAAATATAGATAAGTTAACAATAAGATAATCATAATTTGCAATAGATTCAGTCTCGAAAAATAAAAATAAAAATAAAATAATTAACAACTAATTCTCATATTATTACTGATGGACAACTAATTAAATTTATTAATTTTGAAGTAGGAGAAGGTAAAAGGTTGGGAATATAGTATTAATTGGGAATCATGTAAAGGTGGAAAAATCAATAAACAAATAAGAGAAACAGGGAAGCAGTAGGCGGCCAAACCAACTCAATTTCGGTGGTAATTCATTTAGCCGTTCTTCTCCATGATATTAGTTGTTAATGAGCTCATCAACTTCTTTCTTGTTTTAATTAATTGCTCAAATCCCAGGAAGTTGTCAAGTTTCAGCTTCAACGATTCACGTTCATAAAACTCCCAGAGCATTTGCCATTGCAATCTTTCTCAAACGGACCATCGTTTGCTTTACTTTTATTTTCATGCAACAAGAACGATGAAGCTGATCATTTTTTCTTTGTCTATACTGACGATATTGCTGGTCAGTGTAAGCTCAGATCTAGCTTCCGACAGGGCAGCCTTGGTGGCGCTCCGATCAGCCGTCGGTGGACGCTCACTTTTATGGAATCTTTCAAGCAGCCCGTGCAGTTGGACTGGTGTAAATTGTTCTCAAAACAGAGTAGTGGAGTTAAGACTCCCTGGAATGGGATTGTCAGGTCAGCTTCCCATCGCCATTGGTAACTTAACTCAGCTCCAAACTCTTTCTCTTCGTTTCAACGCTCTCTCTGGCCCAATTCCATCTGATTTTGCCAACCTTTCATCTCTTCGAAACCTCTACTTACAAGGGAATGCATTTTCCTGCGAGATTCCAGAGTTCTTGTTCACTTTGCAAAACCTGATCAGGCTAAATCTCGCAAACAATAATTTCACTGGTTCCATCTCGGGAAGTGTTAACAATTTAACTCGGTTGGGTACATTGTATTTGGAGAACAATAAATTATCTGGGTCGATACCAGATATTGGTTTGGCTTCACTTGTGCAATTCAATGTTTCTTTTAACCAGTTAAATGGGTCGATCCCAAAAGCGTTATCGGGGAAACCACGAAGTGCTTTTCAAGGGAATTCTTTATGTGGAAAGCCTTTGGTTTCTTGTGATGGAAGCAAGGATAGTGACAGTAAATTGTCAGGTGGAGCAATTGCAGGTATTGTCATTGGGTGTGTGCTAGTTGCTTCATTGATTTTGATTCTTTTGATATGTTTATGTGCAAGGAGAAGTGGTAAGAAAACAGAGGCAAGAGATATTGCCCCTGCAAAACAGGCTGAGATTGAAATTTCAGGAGATAATACAAGTAATGGCTTATCTGGGGGACCCAAAAACGATGCCAAGAGTAATGAAAATAAGAATATGGTGATTTTCAGGAAGGCGTCGAGGGTTTTCGATCTCGACCATCTACTGAAGGCATCTGCTGAGGTCTTGGGGAAGGGAACATTTGGGACGGCGTATAAGGCCTCCTTAGATAAGAGGGTGGCAGTTGTGGTGAAGAGGTTGAAGGATGTGACGGTGTCGGAGAAGGAATTCAGGGCGAAAATGGAGGTTGTGGGAGCCATGGATCACCAGAACTTGGTACCAGTAAGGGCATACTACTTTAGTAGGGATGAGAAGCTTCTTGTCTATGATTACATGCCAATGGGAAGCTTGTCTGCACTTTTGCATGGTGAGTATTTACCTTCTTGTTTATCTGCTACATATTTGTTTTCTTTTCTCACGTTATGCTTATCGTTTTCGATCAGGTAACAGAGGAGCTGGTAGGACTCCATTGAATTGGGACACAAGGTCCAACATCGCCCTCGGAGCTGCCCGAGGCATTGCATACCTCCATTCCAAGGCCCCCGGATTCTCCCATGGAAACATCAAATCCTCCAACATCCTTCTCACTACATCCTATGAAGCTCATGTGTCAGATTTCGGTCTTGCTCAGCTTGCTAGACCTGGTCCAACATCGACTCCCAACAGGGTTGATGGCTACCGTGCACCAGAAGTAACAGATGCTCGTAAAATTTCCCAAAAAGCCGATGTCTACAGCTTTGGTGTACTGCTTTTAGAATTGCTTACAGGGAAGGCACCCACACATGCCTTAACGAACGACGAAGGAGTAGACCTTCCGAGATGGGTCCAATCAGTAGTTCGAGAGGAGTGGACTGCCGAGGTGTTCGATCTCGAACTCCTGAGATACCAGAATGTTGAGGAGTATATGGTCCAGCTCTTACAGATTGCCATTAACTGCACTGCTCAATATCCCGATAAACGTCCGGCAATGGAAGAGGTGACGAGCCAAATCGAGGAGCTTTGCCGCTCAAGCAATCAGAAGAACATAGACAAATGAAATCAATGATGCCGATGATGGGTCTTCCCAGCAGGTTTACTCGGTCGTTTCATTAGCTGGTCCGCAATCTTTTATTTTATTTTAAAGTATCATTGTTTTTTTTTTCTTGGCTTCTAAGACACCGTTGCAATTTGTATTTTTCTATTTGCTTCAACATTTTTTTATATAACAAATTCAATTTTTTAATTTGGATATTACAATTATTAATAGTAATTGCACGACATAAGGCATTGCTAACCAAGGTTTCAAAAAACGTTCCGCGACCGCGGTTTAGTCTGTGATATAGCGATTCTACTGCCGTCCGAGTTACCTGCTACAGCAGCAATAGCGTCCGCGACGACTACAATAGCATCCGTGACGGCCACAATCACGGGAAATCCGAAATGTCTGAAAACGCGACCGCGATTTGAAACCCTGTAATACTAACTATCATGTTTCGGTAAAGTAACCAACAAGCTTAATAATCGAACTTTAGGATTATCTCCACAAGCTAAATATGCGTGATCAAAACCATTTATCAAATAAACATCAATAAATCTAATTGCTGAGTAGAGGTGTAAATGAAGTTCAATTATTTATGAATGGTTCGTATAACGTTTGTTGATGTTTCTTTATTGAACTAAATAAACGGGTATGAATAAATTTTTTATGTTTATTTAATAAATAGAAGAACATGAAAATATGTGTGTTTGATTCATTTATGGTCACAAACAAACTCGTTTATTGACTCATTTTTTGAATCGTTTATAAGTTTGTTTACTCGGTTTTCCTTTTCCTTTTCTTTTTTTACATTTTAAATAATAGTGAAGATAGAGACTAAATTAAACACAATGTGAACTTTAGAGTTCAAATTGTGAAACCTAAGGAAATTAAGGACTAGAGACACGATTTCACTTCTTTGCCTGCAAATAAAAAGGTAAAAAGAATGTTGGTTGTCAAACATTAAATAAATATGTTCGCGAACGTTAAATAAATAAACACAAACACTTTTAAAAATAAATAAATGAACACGAATATAATACTAAATAAACACGAACGGAGCATTAACGCTTTAAAAAAATAAACAAAAAACCATAAATACAATTTTATTCGTTCATGTTCTATTCATTTACACTTCTATTGACGATGAGTTATGGGTCGTTATCAGGATATTAATAATACCTAAATCATAAGAGGAGAAGGAGAACCTATTCCACCATTTCCGATATACTTCTCTTCCACACAAAAAATTAATTAAACAGAGCTGATTTCAGAATCATTTAAACTCAGAATTACAGTAGACAAAGAGCTTGGGAAACTTCGGCTATAATGTTGATTAAGTCAAGAAAGATGATTTTGATAATGTTTGAACATTCTTTAGTGCGAAAGTGATGAAACCGTCAATATTCCAAGTGAAGCATACGAATAGTGCGATTATTCAAAGGGTGAAGGAATCAAATGATAAAAAGATGCAACAGACGTTCCTCAAAGACAAGAAAAGTGAGATTATCATTGAGAAGCAATTCAAAAAGAACAAAATATTCCTCGTAAAAAGAACAAAATATTCCTCGTAAAAAGGACCATTGAAAGGAATTCTAGAATCTTTAGTAACGGATTTGGGAGAAAGCTCAAGTTCGACATTCATAAGGAAAGACGAAATGTCAAAAATCTTATCGGAAGATAAGAAATAAGATTTTTGGCATTTCGTCTTTCCTTATGGGTGTCAAACTTAGCTTAGTCCATTACTAAGGATTTAAGAATTCCTTTTGATGAACTTTTTCGCGAGGAAGACTTTATTCCTTTTGAATTGGTTCTCAATCATAATCTCACCTTTCTTGCCTTTAAGAAACGTCTTTTACATCTTTTCATTACTTAGTTCCTTTGTCTTTCAAGTGGTCGTACCACTCGTATGTGTCACTTGGACTATTGATGGCTTCATCACTTCTATACTAAAATATGTCCGAACATTATCAAAATCATCTTTCTTGATTTAGTGAACACTATAGCCAAAGTATTCCAATCATTAGGAAAGGCTCTTTTAAACCCTCCTGTTTAGGATCACTCATTCACATTAAGGAGGGCACCCATAGGAAAAGTTTCCCAAGCTCCTTGCCTGTTGCACTAGGCTGTCTATCATTAATCCCAAATTTAACTCTCTCAACAGCTTTCATTATATCTTCCCTTAACACTGTTTCACCACCTACAGAACCAGACACGGTCAGACAAAAAATTCAGCTTTAATCTAACAGACCAATTGAAATTGTTGAATTGATTAAACCAAAAACCAGGCCCGTCACTGGTTCAGTGACCGATCTGGAAATTAGAAATTTCGGGAGTGGGGTAAGGGGGTCTCTGCTACTGCTAGTTAGCAGTGCAGGCAATGCAATCTGAAACCAGATGGGGCTATGTATCATCAGCTTCTTACCTCTACGAGCAGCGAGTAAAGCAGCTTCGTTGACAATGTCTGCAAGATCAGCACCTACAAAACCTGGGGTCAGTGAAGCAACCAACTCGGAAATAAGTTGTGCGTCTTCTTCTAGAGGAACTCCTCTCAAATGTACAGACAAAATCTTTCTCCGTCCCTCCTCATTTGGTTCTCCTACCAATACTTTCCTTGAGAAGCTACCAGGGCGACAGAGGGCTTGGTCCAGTGCTTCTGGCCTATTAGTTTTCCCAATAACAACCACTCTCATGCCTGACTCGAATCCATCCATTTCGGTCAGCAACTGCAGCTGCAAGAATGAGACTTGAGAAAAATCTGTGGGTAGCTCCTTAAGGTTACATAAGAATTCATAGGACTTCTTTTTTCTTTGAAAAAAAAAGGTGGTTTGATTGTAAAGGACTATATTTACATAAACTGATAAAATGTTCATTGAAGTCCCAATTTGATCATAATAATGGAAAAGAAAAGCAGATAAGCAATGCAAATAGTGTTGAATGTAAAATTGCCTGGTTCAATGTCTAGTCTCGTTCATCATTCAAACTTCTACTACGCTTCCCTCCAACTGCATCAAGATGATGCAGATTTCCTTGCCACGTTGAAAAGATCTCTAATTCGAGCTGCTCCTCTACCAACAAATAATTCCACGAATTCACTCACTCGCTGATACACTGAAGAAAGGAACTCCTGCTTCTCCAGCTACTGCTCGAGCTAGTAATGTCTTCCCTGTTCCTGGTGGACCCACTAGCAACACACGTCTAGGTTATTTTGCTTCCAGTTTTTGGTAGTTTACAGAACCCTGAAGGCATGAAACTATCTACAAAAGGAGTTTGTGTCAACGGAGATAGCCAGCCGAAAACTACTTCATTATACATGACAAATTCAGTAAACCTAGTCTGTAATAACAGCCGGCAGGAAAAATCATCTCTACTAAGACGACAAACAAAAACCTCAGACAAATTAGTAGTGGCGTCGCGCTACAAATAGCTAAATGATCCATATGTATCTGCATAAATTTCTTTTATTAATCTGCTTCGACACAGTGCTAAAAAGTTTCCATGACAATATACAAACACAAACATGAGTAAACCACAGACATGTACACGACACCCTGTCCTGTTCGAAAACCTACAACATGATTTGCAGAACTCTTAAACCAATTTGATTTTGTGCTACCCAAAAGCAACACATTTAAGGCCTCAATATCATCATCAATATCAAGTAATTCTCAAATGCCTTCCAAAGCATATAAATCCAAGTGAGGAGCTCAAAGGTAAATAATATACCTCCGCATGCTATTTCAATACCGGAAAAAGACTCCATGATCATCTAGATGAGTCTGGAGGAAGCTCTTCAACCTAACATTCATATCTAAGTGCATTTGACATATTTTTTAAAAACAGATACAAATATTCAGAGTCTGAGTTTAAAACTGATAAAGGCAACAAAAACAAAATTGCAGCAATATTCTCTAGAAAGTCACCTTAGAAGTAAAACAAATACAAAAAATTATCACCGACATCATTGACAGTCCGAAAAGAAATCACAACGTGGTAATACCATGGAAGATTTCCTAGCTTCTGTAGACTACATTGCACTCGGAATAAATTTGAAAAAATTCTAGAAACGAAGCAAACTTACATCCTCGTTCGTCATAATTGATTCCATGTTGAATGCCTTGACATTAAATATGAAAAAAAAGCCATGATATTCATTTTGGGGGAATAGAGAAGTGCTTACCTCCATAAGCTCCACCTTAGCAGTATCAACTCCCTCCACATCATCAAACCCAAAACATGATTATTCAGACGCCGCTTTCTTGCAGGACTATTAGCAGCAGAAAGTTGACGATATAGCAGCCACATCAAAGGCGTTACAGGAATCCACAAGGATATTATTGTTATTAAAGTACTCCTGACTGACATCAGAACAGACTGAGGGGCGGAGCTATAAGTTGTTCCCTTTTCTCGCATCAAACTAAGAATAAACTTTTCGTCATGATCAATTTGCCTTGTCAAATACATCCATGCAGAAGTAGAACTCTTAGATCTTGAATATTCTTAAATAGACCTTATTTTTGCGTTTCTCTACCATCCACCACTCTATCCTCTCAGCGAAACCATTTACGTTTTCTGTTGAATCATTCCCGGATGATGATGATTCCTCTGATTAAGTATTCTCAACACTTTAGAATCCACGTTGAAACATATACGACGAGAACCCTCTTCAAGCAAAACCTTAGTCACAGAAGTACTATGAAGGCTTGTTATGGACTCCGAGTAGGGAACAATTTTAGGAGATGGCAATACAGTTAATTTCAAGAACAAATAACACATTCCCAGCACTAGGGATATTGTACTGTAAAGACCAACTCTTCTTACATTCTTTCTTTAAAACACAGCCACATTGTTTAACATCGACCTAACCGAAAGTCTCTTCCTTCTTCTCATTAATAACCTTTTCTTACTGAAAATCTCTCTTTCTCTTATGGCATAAGAAAAGCTAGCGCATCTCCTGATAGACTTGGTTTTCTCACTATCAATTACCAAGTTACCTTTACTAACAAAGAAACCATTATTGCAAACAATACTAAGGCAAGCCACGTGTTTTTGTACATCGACAACAACATCCAAGTGGGAAGAGAAAACCAACCAAAGCTACAAAGCAAAGGAATCAGAAATTCGGTAACTTCAAGCAATACAAGAGTTTTACTCGTTACCTGGGTATATGAGCTTCTATATATTATACATGGGGATGGAACTGAGGAATGAAACCAATGAGAGGAAGGCTACTTTATCTTCAATTTTCTCTTTTTATATGCTGGTATTTAGATTCAAAGTTCTTGGGCCAAAGATCTGACGGTCTTAAAGCATTGGTTGGGTGGTTTGATCGGATAATATGTGGCCCATGCAGTGACATATGGATAATTTTCCTTAACAATTGAATTTTACATGATTTATAATAAGATGAAATATACATATATAATTCATCCTCTCGACTCCAAAAATACCAAATATAAAATTTAATTCAATTAATAGATACAAAAATGAAAGGAATGATTAAAAAAGAATGATCAAATATTACACATCTGAGCAGCAAAACCATTCCATGATGTTTCTCAGTCTTCAAGTCTCATCCAAAGCCAAACCCATTATTCCCTTTAAAACTTTGATGCCATCTGAATTCTCAATACTGTGTTCCGATACCATTGAACTCACTGCTAGGATTTTCAGGCTACGGGTTTAAAGCGCTAAGGTCCCTATGCTCTTGACTCCGGCCACTCGGATTTTCATGCTCTCGACTCTTCCAACTACCCTGACTACCATATTATTGACTTCTCCAACTGCTTTGAGTGTGATTGAAGTAACTAGAACTATAGTCTTCACTGCCAAATGCTAACCTCTGAAACAACCTGATTTCTGCAGATTGTTGTGCCGAATCGAAAACTTCACTTTGGCCAGGTCTCATTCCGTTTGTGATATCTGATGACTCGTCCAATGAGTCTAGAGCTCTCACTACCTGAGAAGTAAATGTCGAAAAAAGTCCGTTTTGAAGTCGAATGTTATATAATAAAAGAGGTTCTGTAAAACTGAAACATATTTACCTGGCTCATTCTTGGCCTTCTAGCAGCTGAATGCCGCACACAAGCAGCAGCTGCCTCAACCATTCGAAACATCTCATGTTTAACATAGTTGTTTCCCAGTCTTGGATCCACCAACTCTTCGAAGACTTCATGTTCGATTGCTTCAGCGAGCAATGGTCGAGCCTAAGTAAAAAAGATTGAACCGTATTAAAATGTTTGATATTGGAACATTGCCACGGGTTCCACTGCATTAGATAAAGAATGATCGATGTAATAGCGATTAGGCATAGCACTTTTGGAAACCATTGTTCGACGCTACACTGGATTTCAGATTTTATTAAGAAAATAAAAATTTCTTGATTATTCGTCAGAGCAAAGCGCGTGTAACCTTTTGATAACAGAAACCTAGTTGCGTAGCCTTACCCATTCAACCAGGCTCTCATCGCCTAGGGGCTGAGTATCATCAACAGGCTTGCGCCCAGTAATTAGCTCCAAGAGCACAACACCAAAGGAGTAAACATCGGATTTTTCGGTTAACTTGCCACTTGTTGCATACTCTGGAGCCATATATCTGTAAAAGAACAAATTCATTTATCAGAAAAACTGGATATGATCATTCGATTACGACACATTTTACATGTTTGCAGATCAAATACAACAGAAAATGAAAACTGCAGTGCACGGTAAAACGAATCATCAGTGTCACATCTCAAAATTATTGGATATTAAATGCTTCAAATCACAACAATGTGCTTTAAATACAAGAAAATGATCATATGCACTTAAAATACGGACCTCAAGTGCTAGCTCTACACCAGGATTATGCTCAAGCAACAAAGGGACAAAAAAAAATCATTCAGAAGCACGCAAACCAACATATTATCTTACCCAAAGGTTCCCATCACTCGAGTGGTTACATGAGTATTTGAATCCAATGCCAACTTTGCAAGTCCAAAATCCGAAACCTATTATGGACACACAAATTGAGGCAGAAATTAGAGTGTGAAAAGGGAATTTATGAGAGCGAAAAAAAGAAAACCTTGATATATGCAAAGCGTACTAAGAATATAACAGTGAGAAAATGCCAATAATTTGAATTCAATGCAGAAGATTTATAGATAACAAAAGATGATATGGAACTCATAAGCACCTTCAAAATCCCCCAAGACAATCCAATTTCAAACTAATGTTGTTCACAAAATCTAGACTGTGGAATGGGCATACCTGAGCGTCGAAATTGTTGTGAAGAAGAATGTTTGATGACTTGATATCCCTGTGAATGATGCGAGGATGGCCTGATTGAAGCAAAAATAAAAATTAAGAAATCTTACATACGAAGCTACAATGGGAATGATGTGACGATGGAACATATCGTAGGAAGAGCATGAAAAATCAATATCTATATGTTGTTTAAACTCTACTTTTATTCTTCTTCAGAAATTTTGAGGAATTGCAGCATATGTCAGTATCAAAGTGGGGAAAAGAGAATAAAGAACAGGTAGATTACAGTCTTCATGGAGGTAAGCTATCCCCCGTGCTGAACCCGCAGCAACCTTGACTCGTACTTCCCAATCCATAACTGGCCAGCCTCTACCTGCAAAATTCCATGAAGAGCGTTAAATTAGAACATTGCCGCATATCAGGAGGATCATACATAAATTTCATCCAAGGTCATTCAAATTTTGATCTCAAAGTTATATCTAACATCTTATATTTTCATAAGCTGAGAATGGTTAAGTAGACGGATGTTTTTAGGAGTTTAAGATAAGAAGTCTTACCATGGAGATGGTAATGAAGGGTGTTGTTCGGGACATAATCATAGACAAGCAATCTTTGATTCTCTGATATACAATACCCCACCAATGAAACCAAATGGCGATGATGTACTCGGCTAATAATATCAACTTCTGCTCTGAACTCTCTTTCCCCTTGTCCACCACCAATCTTTAGCTGCTTGACAGCCACTTCTCTGCCATCAACGAGCATACCTTTGTATACACAACCAAATCCACCTTCACCCAAAAGATTATGTTCGGAAAAGCCACTCGTTGCCTCGATTAGCTCTTCGTATGTGAACCATGACCGGGAATTATTGACCCCACCAGGCTCTGGTGGTGAATTAAAACCACTTCCCATTAGTTGCTGTGCAGACCATGGCCTTAAAAGTGCTGCATCTGCAGAGCAAGTTCCACATTATTTAAGTGATATTCACAAACAACAGAAGAAGATAAAAAGCTGCTTCCCTAAGCATTGTTTAATTTTTTTACCTGAATTATGAGATGAAGGAAATGGAGAAGGCACAGTGTACCCTGTTTTTGGTCCAGACCTCTTCCTCTTTCTTTTCTGAACAAACCAAGCAGCCATTGCAAGAAGACTGAGCACAATAAACCCAACAAAAATGCCTATTCCCACAGCCCCTCCAGTGCTTAAACCATTCTTACCAGCGGATGTTGCATTGGCTGATACACCATTAGTTGAGTTTGCAGTTGTTTTTTCTGTTGGAACTGTGGGCAAAAGTGGTGAACTAGGACTTAAGGTTGTTTTCGGAGTACTTGGAGTTGCTGGGGATGAAACTGTAGGTGGTGAGGAGGTTGAGGGAACTGAAGGCGGCGGGGACGATAATGTGGGTGTTGAGGGAGAAGCTGTGGGAGGTGGAGGAGAAGAATTAGATGGTGGAGGTGTAAGTGTAAGAGGTGAGGAAGAACTTTCAGTTGGTGGTGTTGCTGGAGGTGAAGGTGGAGATTTTGAGGAAGGTGGCGTTGGAACATTAGCTGGAGGAGGCGGGGAACTAAAAATTATCCTCGGTAGTGTTGCTGGTGGTGAACGTGGAGACTTTGAGGAAGGTGGCGTTGGAACAGAAGCTGGAGGAGGCGGTGAACTAAAAACTATCTGAGGTGGAAGTGAAGGTGGAGATTTTGGGGAAGGCGGAGTTGGAACATTAGCCGGAGGAGGTGGGGAAGGTAAGATTATATGCAGCGGAGGTGAAGCTGCAACTGGAGGTGCCGGTTCAGCTGGTGGAGGAGGAGAGCCACCTGATTGCACTGGAGGTGGAGATAAAACTGGAGAGGGTGGTGAATCATCAGCAGGCGGAGGAGATGCTGGCAGTGATGGAGGTAGAGATGAAGCTGGTGGTGGTGATAAAGGCGGCGATGGAGGAGGAGCTGTAGGGACATCTGGAGGAGGTGATTGAGGCGGTGGAGACGATGTTGGCGGATCGGTAGGTTGACTTGGCTGAGATGATGCAGGGGATGGAGAAGTGCTTGATGAATCAGGGGAGGAAGAGCTAGGAGGTGCTGGTTGTGGAGGTATATCACCAGAAGTTGATGAAATTACAGAAGATACAATTGAAGCCATATTTCTCTACAATATCCCTACAATCCCATATCCGATTTAGAACATTCTAAACACCCAAATCTCCTATTGTTCTTGAAAATCATATCTATACAAGGTTTCCACTTTCCACAGTACAAGATGTCAAAATTCAAGCCATTAAACGTCTATCAAAGAACCTAAGCTAAAACACAAAGAAAACATCAAAGAATCGACAACAGCAACCGCCATAAACCCAAAAGAAAAATGATCCAAAAACTCAGGCCTGGGAAAACAAACCAGTCAACTAACTTGGTATCAGCAAGATTGCAAGCTCCAAAAAAAAAATCCAAACTTCACAACAAAATGAGAATACCCCAATTCTCAAAATCATCCATAAAGCAAAACCCAGATAACCAAACTCAAATTCAGATATCACACAATTCACAACACTGAGTTCCCAATCGCAAGCAACTGCTGATAATAATCAAAATGCAGCATTACAAGATGGATAAAAATAAATAAAACAAGATAAGGAGCTAAAGAGAATTAATGCTTACCTATAATTCCAAAAGCTGAAGAAAACTAAAATCTACAATTTTTTTTAATAAAAAAAACAGTGGATGGTGGTGTTGAAGTTTTTGCAATAAAACAAAGGAAAGACGGCCTTTTTCTTTTGAGGGAATTAGTAGAGAGAGATTGAGACTTGAGAGAAGTGTATGTCCGCATAAGGTGCAAAGGAAACGTGGTGGAAACCTGGAGAGTATACCCAAAATCAAGTCTTTTCCATCACATGATCCACAAACACCCTGTGAACATGGTCCTTAGCTGTTTACTGAAAATAAATTCTTAAAATTTACTATTCACTAGGCTACATTAAATAAAATGTCACCTCTTATAACCATTTCAATTTAATTTCATACTCAATTGTATCACATTCATAATGGGTAAACATGGGTTGAATTAAGAAACATTTGTACACATTTATTAAATGAATGATTATAGCTTAATAAATATTTGGATTTGATTTAATATTAGATTATAGGGTAAATTACACACTTAATAAACTTTAGATATTGAAATTTTTTTATTACTCGGCGGTCTATTTATTAACACCCTCATGACTTTGTATTTTTATTAATTTTTTAAACGATTAACATTTTATTAATATTATTTATATATTTTTTATTATCCCCAACCCAATTGATCACTTTCCTCATCCTCGCCATCAAAACTCTCTCCACCATCTTCTGCTCTCCCTTCTAATCTCTCCACCATCTCTGCTCACAAATGGAACATTCTCGGATGGCTCAGAAAATGCAAGAACCAAGGTGTGCACTGGTTTTACATAAAAAAAAAACTTCAGATTTACTAATCTCTTTGAACCAAAATTTTCTCATTTTTCTTCGTAACCAATGAATACCCACTTTATTTTTCTTCATTCTAGACTTTGTTTATACACTAGATCAAGCTTTTACGTCAACCAAAATCACACAAAAGATCAGTCCTTTGGACTAAAATTACACAAAGATCAATACTTTGAGTCACAAATATTTCCCCTTTTAATTCTTTTTTTTCCAGAAACAATGAATACCCATTTTATAGTTTTCTCCATTCTCGATGTTTATGCACATAATCAATATCCTATATGAAAGAAAATTATAGAACATTAAATTAAAGCCATGAAAAAAATATTCTTCAAAACGACAAATACTCATTTTATTTTTCACAATCCTTGACTTTTAATATGGAAAAAGTACAATAAAGAAAAGAAGAATCAATGGTTTATCTCTGAAAACTGAAATAAATATTGCCATATTTTATCATGAAATTAGCACAAATAGAATCAATGTTTAATTGAAAAAGAAGAGAATTGAAGTGAAGAAAACAATCACAGAATCGACCTTGAGAAATAAATGAGAACCGGAAAAGAGAAGATGGTGGAGAGACTAGAAGAGAAAAGAGAAAATGCTTGAGAGAGCTTTGAGGGTGAGGGTGAGGGTGAGGGTGAGAATAATGAAATATATATAATATTAAAAATATTAATTGATTAATAAAGTTTAATGAATAAATTAAAAAATTGTAAGTATGGTGTATAAAATAAAGAGAAAATAAAAGTTTAATAAATAAATATATAATTTATCTTAGATTATATCACAATTTAAAATATTTAAATTAATAATTTCATATTAAAATATATTATAATAATTTATTAATAAATAATTATAAATGAATTTGATAAAAGATATTGATATCCTAAAGTAAGTCAGCGTTGAGAAAATCAAATGATAATGAAAATATATTATTTTATTAGAGATATGATTCTGAGTTCTCGCTTCAACCGCCCATGTTGTGTGTCGGATGTGTTGCGTTTCCATTTTAGGAATAATAAATAAGATAAACTATGTATTTCTTTTTTTTTCTTTTTTTCTTTTTTGATAATTCAGCATTTTATTACCACAACAGGTTTTGATACAACCAATAACTAATCAACAAAATAGAACAGCCTAATTACACAACAATAATTGGTTATATTATACCCCAAGCATTACAAAGGCTTTTTTTTTTTGGATAATTCAGCATTTTATTACCACAACAGTAAGGTTTTGATACAACCAATAACCAATCAACAAAACAGAATAGCCTAATTACACAACAATGATTGGTTATACTATACCCAAGCATTACAAAGGGATAAGTTAGTACTATCTAGTCTATTTATGGATCTGTCCCTTAGACGAATTGCAACCACATCGACAATTTCTTTAAGAATATCGTCAGCAGATCGGAAACGGCCCTGAAATAATCTCTGGTTACGTTCCTGCCACAAGAAGTAAATGAAGGCATTCCACGAGATCTTCAAAATGGCAATTAAGAGGGACTTTCCTTTCCAAGAGGAGCAAGCACGAGCTACCATTTCATCCCAAGTCAAAGCATAAAAGTTCATCCCATTCATGTTAAGGATGGATTTCCATATACCAATAGCCAAGGAACAATTAGAGAAAATATGATCTCTAGTTTCTTGATGAGTGTTACAGTTTATACATAGTCCATCCGTGCAAATTCTCATTCTTTCTAAACGATCTCTGGTTGGTAATTTACTCAAAATAGCCATCCAAGCAATCAAGCTATGCTTTGAAATATGCAAAGGATACCATATTAGATGCTACCAAATAACCTTCTGCACTTGCGGTCGAATGTGCTCGCATATTTCCTTAGTACGCATGAAACCAGAAGCAAAAAAGGAGCAGCAGTAGGTCTCAAATTTAGAATTCTTTTGAATCCCCAACTAACATTTGTTCCAGCCTCGAATTGCCATAAATCATGTCCTTTAAGTTTTAGTTAAAGGAAACTATGTATTTCGCTATCTAATTATAATTAAATTTTAGTTATTTAATTATTATTTATAAAATCATATATAATAATATATTTTAGTTTCATTTTTATCACTGGTCATTACAAAATTAATAATTATATTGATGTATTGTCATAAGTTAATGTCACATTATCATTTAAAAAAATATATATAAATGTTTTATCATTGATTTTGTTAATTTTTATCGATGAGTGACAAATAAAATCAAAATGTAACCTTATGTATGATTTTGAAGAAAAAAATAATTGAATAACTAAAATAGAACCGCATTAATAGTTAGATAACTAAATACACAGCTTCCTAATAAATAACATGAATTATATCATATGTATTTGAATATTTTTTTAATAGTCTAGGGTGATTACAATGTAATATATCTTCAGAATTCTTCTTAATCACGAAAATACCACATACACCTTATAGACGCAACTGCTCTAACCCATGACCTCTCAAAGATTAACACTCCTCTTAAATGGTAAATATTATTTGAGTTAATTGCATCATACATATGGTTTTATTTTAAATTGATATCTAATTTTTTTAATATTTTAATTTCATATCTAAATTATATTTTAAATTTTAAATTAGTCCTCAAACTTTTAAATATTATAATTTTATCTCAAAACTATGATTACCATTATAAATTGATCCTCATACTTTTGAACATTTTAATTTCATTCCAAACTATTGATATATGCTAATCACATCTCATATTAATAAAACGGTTAAGTCAAACTATATTATTATATATTTGAAAAAAATCAACTTAAATTGAAATCAACACTAATTATATTTTTAAATAAATTTAGAGATGAAATTAGAAGAATCAAAAGAAAGCATCTCTCCTTCTTACACCGTTTTTTCAATGAGAGCAAAGAGTTTCAGTAATTGCAACTGAAGATTTTATATAGTTTGGACTGTTTGGTGTAGCTTTTTGAATTTACAAAAATACTGTTTTAAATTTAATTATTCGGGATTAATGTAAAAAAGTGAGTTTAAAAAGATAAATGTCAATTATAGATAATATGTTGTAAATTAAAAATATAATATTAAATTATACTTACAATTATATATGAATCATATTAATTTAAACTATAATAAATTCAAAAAAAATATTATTATATATGAATTATATCAATTTAAATTATAAAAAAAGTATAAAAAATACAAATAAAAATATAAGTACAATAAAATATATTTTATATAACTCACTATTAATATTTTAATATATAAATCATAAATTTTATTTATTTTTAAATAATTAAAGTAAATTATTAATAGTAATAAATTATTTTTTAAGGATGTTAATATTAAATTATTAAAATAAAATGTAAATACATAATTGAGTGTAGTGTATACAATAGTAAATGTAAAATTATAATTTGTTTCTAAACGTAAAATTAAAAATTAAAAAAATTAAAAATCTTAATTTTTACGAATAGTTTGAAACCACTTTTTCATCATAATTCTTTTATTTTTTATTTGTTTGTCATTGATTTTATGATCAAATCAAACTTTTAAATTGAAAATTGTTTTAATTTTTTTTATTAAACGGACCCTTTGTATAGTGCATTGCATTGGTCACGTCACATCTTTTTCCTTAAATGTGAGAGTTCGTTTCTGCCGCTATTTTTAAAAACTTTTTTGTTACTAAATTTTATGTATTGTACATTATGATGAACTGATTTGGATCCTCATTGTAGTTTATTCAGTTTATTTCGATTAATTATTTATTTTATTGATAATATTATAGAATTTTATTTGCACACATATCATTTAAATTTTATTTATTAAAATATATATATTTACTCTTAAAAATATTTCTATATCCACGCTTAATTTATCGGGCGTTTCTAATTTGCTGACATTTTGTATCAACTTTTGTAGGTGGCAACGCAATACCATACATAACTATTTACCCAGTTCACATATTTACAAAGAATAAATGGGGTAGATAGGGATATGTGTGGATATGAGAGGGTTCCGAGTATCTCGGTCGAAAGGGGTAGAAGTTTCACTGTACTCCGAGGCAGGAAGACATTCATGCGGCGACTTGGAAACGAAAGCGCCGGCAGTGGAATCATCGTCGACGGTGGTTCTCGAGACGACGGCGACAGCGAGGGCCTTCAGCCAGGTTGTGCCGGTTTTCGGAGCGCTGCAAAGGAAAATATCGGAAGGTCTAGCTTTGGAGTGGCGTTGAGCTGAGAAGATTCTGGCCACCATCGACGTGTCTTGGAACCAAAAGCCTTGGCACTGAACGAGGTTGTTTTTGAATGCACTCAAACCTTCTCTCGTCCGGGAAGGGTAGAGAAAATGCCGTCTTCTTCATCACCATCAGAGCTTTGATCTCTCTTGGAACCTATGCCGGACGCCATGAGAGGGAAGCAAATTGAGCCTCGAAATATGAACATGAGAAGCAAATTGCCTCTCTACACGTTAATGGCTTTGTAGACAATTGAGTACAACTGACCCTTAAATATTCATACAATGATACGTTATAGAACCTCTAATAATAACAATTACTTATTTAATCATTGAATTCCATTAGTTTATATAATAATATATTAAATTTAAGATTATTAGGGGACATACTTAATTAGCTGGCCTTTCTAGTTGTTTATTGGCAAATGTGCCATGTTACTTATCTTTATGTCCGTAACAAGTAATTAACCTAAAATTCCAAATCTTTAACATAAGATTCTAGTTGTTTAATGATTTCTCTTATATGATTATCAATAAGTTTATATTTTAATAGCGGCGCTCAATAGAAACAACCACCTCATTTTCACTCATCCTTTTATAACCTTTATGGGAATATTTTAAATATATTTTTTTATATTTTCGATTGAAAATCTACTTTTTATCCCTTAAAATTGTAAGCTCATCCGATCTCTACCCTAAAATCTTAGGCTTGTTGTAGACTACATGGGCGATGATCTCCCATGAAATTTTCGAGATTTCTTTATAGCTTTCCATTTATCTCTAACGATCTTTGAGTGAATTTCACCTGTCCATGCCATTTAAGAGCCCTAATGATCAAAACCTCGACAACTGAAGACGCTAACAGAAAACATGGTATACAATGATCTTACGGTGAAATTTTCGAGAGATGAATGTAATTATTTTTTACCATAGATCAAATTTAAACCCGAGTCACTCAGCTTCTGCTGGGTTATGAAATCCATATGAGCAGCCATCTCGGGTGTCAAATAATTTTCCCAATCCTTCACAGTCGATTTACGATAAAATACTTTATTTTCCATTTCCCATGGTGTGTTCTCCCCAACTTTTCCACTTTTATTCACTTCGAGGTTGCGTAGATAATCGAAACTGCACATTCTTACAATCTTTCCCACCACCCCCTTTCCTTCTTCTTCCAACGTGAATCCATATCCAATGAATTCGGCCAGTTTCCTGGTGTAAAAAGCTGTGTTTTCCTTCATGTCTTCGTATTTCAAGAACAAGATTCTGTCTGGTTGATCCAAACTTGCTTTCCAATACCCCAAAACATGGTCCCAATACGGTCCGGAACTTGATGCTCCGTCGCAGAAGAACTCGAAAGCTTGGTCGAGGGGGATCCGTTCCATGTTCCTTGACGTGGCCAGTTCGGCATAAAAGTGGTACATGGAAACGAAGGTGTCTTTGGGGTCCCTTGTAGACACCTAATTTCGCCCTCATATTATTACGATCATATTACTATAATATATTTATATAGTGTTTTATCTCATTATAATTATATTATATGGTATGTTTAACACAATTTTTTATATTTCTTGTATCAAGCCCAACAGTGAACCAAGTCCAGTAGAGCAGCCCGTGCCACCCAGCAACAGAAACCCTAGCGCCGCATGCTCCCTGCTCCTCTCTGCGCCGCATGGAGTCAACCCTAGCATCCGAGTTTCACGGCAACACGACTCTATCTCCGAAGCATTCGGCTCAAGCAAAACAACCACCGAAAGTATTTTAGTCCAAATAAAATACTGAAGATTCGGAACCAAAAATAGCTTATTTCGTTGTTATAAATCTCGAACACAAACAGGGGGGAGGGGGAGGAAATATTCAGTTCGATACGAGAGAAAACAGGGGAGAGTATGATACAATAGAGAGGAAGAACGCCACTGTATTTTCGACAAATAAAGAATCAATAAAGCATTTTTTTTCAATCTCTTTCTTCTGGTACAATTTTGGTTTGCATATTTTTTTTATAATAGTGAAGATCAACATGTAAAAGCAATAGCCTAGTGAGGGAGAGAAGAACAGAACGTGAAACAAATAGAAGGGAAGGAGTCTTCCCATTTGGCCGACGACGGCAATCAGTGTACGGCGGTGACGGATGTCGACAATGAGCGGCGGACCAGGACCAACATCGATCGTCGTGGTAGCTCCAGCCCCAGCTTCCGAAAATCAGACCAAAATCATTCTCTCGGCCCCATTCCCAACCAATTCAGAGAACGAATCTCAAAGATAAGGCAAATGAATAGGAAAGCCATTATTCTGGTCTCCTATTGCGTGAGATTAAACAAAATCTCAAGTGGTTGTAAACTTTGGGTAAAATCTCGCCATGGTCCCTCAATTATTATGAGTTTTTTTTTCCATTTCATTTATCTTACTACTTTTAAAATTTTTATTTTTTATTTTATTTTATTTTCTCTTTGATTTATTTAATGTTTATTTTTTTTTTTACTTTTAGGTTTTTTTAATCGATCAAAGGTAACTATTCAAATCGGGTTTTTAAATTTCAATTTTAATTTTTAATTTTCGCAACTAAGACAATCGACAAATTAATTGGTACCGAAAGGACGGTTCAAGGGTGTTAATCCTTCCTTGGCAGTAACCGACTCCCGAACCCGACACGTTTCTGGTACAACGCAGATTAGGTAAGATGGTGTCCGACCCACCTAAATTCGTTTTAAAGTGGTCGGTGGCGACTCCAATCCACATTTTTCAAGTCGAAGCCCAATTCCGAGGCCCAACCGAGAGACGGTTGCGACAGCTTGGCGACTCCGCTGGGGACAGGTAAGTGAGTCAGGCCGAAATTAATTTTCGGTTGTCTTTTTATGCGAAAATGGTAAATTTAGATTTAAATTTATTTATTCGATTCCAGTTATTTACCTTTGATTATTTTTCAAATAAATAGTTGTACTAACATTTTTAATGATTAGTAGCCTTCGGGATTCATATACCTTATGTCTTCGTGTGGATTTATTCACCGTGCGGGCATAAGGGAATGTGTCATCTCGAGTTTAACTTAATTCACACAAGCCTGTGATGGGCTTAGGACTAAGGGTCTGGTAAGCCCAAGGGAACACCGGCAAGGAGAACTCGAGTACCTTTTTTAGAACCTAAACCGGGAAAGTATAGGGAATTAGAGCCCACCCCAAAACCTCATTCCAAACCCTAGGCTGCTTTGTTTCCTGTTTTATTTTCTGTTCAAAGCATACAAACTAGACAAATATGTGGTTAGGATTTATTTTAAATTAGCATGCGAGATAGAGATCATGTCCAGGTAGGAATAATAAGTATGTGGGGTAGATATCATGTGGGGTAGGATTTTTCATTTTTTTTTGATTTACCTCACTAACTATTTTTTATTTTGGTTCTCTTTTATTTTGTTTTCATCGTTTGCATCATTTAAAACGAGGTGTTGATCCACCAAAAACGTGTTTGTTGAACATGAATAATCTACATTAATGGACAAAAGGGTTGTAATACAAGAGACGCAAATACATAGGACAGTCTACAAGTCGACTTTGTGTCACATTCAATCCAGAAGACGTGGTGCCCACAATTGAAGAGTATATCGCTCTGCTGCATTATAAAAGAACTCAGAATAAACAAGGTCTACATCAAGCACAATGAAATCCTATCTTTGAAGAACTGATTGGCAGAGATTGCAGGGGCAAGATGAAGGCCACTGATATTAGGAGTCATTTCAAAGACGACAATGGCAAAACGATAGCTGAAGTTGGAGACCATTGCTGACGAATTTAAGAAACATACAAATGGACTTCACATAGTTCCTATCAATTAAGGGCTCCAATGACGTATTCGTTGGGAACAGGCTCAACAAAAGATAAATGTCGGAGGTACAGTCCTTCGAGACTTTTTTGGGGCAAAAAACTAGTCATTTGCACGGTTCATCCAGAGAAAACAGAGCGGTTCGACAGATTGTTCAACCGGTCACAGACGAAGGCAGAAGACTATTCAACATATCAGAAGCTGTCAGAATATTTTTGTCTCTTAAAAGATAAAACACTTTTGTCTCCAATAAGGATTATTTCTAATAACAGACATATTTTTTGGATCAATGCCTTGAACATTGCGCATCATGCATTCCTGCATATTTCGCATTAATTTCTCCTTTTTATTATGTTCACATGTCTCATAAAAAATGAGAACATTTCGATCCTATGACATATAAGGAGCTTTACCAACAGTTGTTTGACGCACACGTGGTGTCACCATATCCAGAGAAATCCATGAAGCCCCGTACCCCAGGTAGTATGATGAGAACGCTCATTGCGAAAATCATAGCGGAGTCCCAGGGCGCACTATCGAGAATTACTCCACAATCAAGAGAATCATACATAAAATACGTAACAAGAATCGGATCGACTTCAACAACTTGGGGGCATCCAAGTGAGGAAGACCATTTCATCATTTGAGACATTTTGTTTGAATTTGTTTTTTCATTTTTTTTCTCAAGTTTTTGTAAGGACTTTTAAATAAATTTATGTTACTTTAAAGATGTTAAACAATGAATCACATTTGCAAACTTGCAATTCTTTGAATATCATCTGAATTAAGAAACTCTGAAATGGTTTAAAGTTACATATCTTTGACGAAGTAACATGATTTAAAACAAGGAATTTGACTTTACCCAGAATATACACTCAAACACCGTACCCTGCTCTTGTAATTAACCAATATAACATTTTCCTTTCATAAGGTGCGGACAACATGGGGCATCCTTTTGCATATGACATTATTATACTTTTTATTTAAGATGTTCAGTGATGATAATGATCTTCACAGTTGGAATAGTCGAGTAAGTGAATCTAGTTTAGGTCAGTTGCTTGAAAATTGAACTTTAAAGATGATTTTTTTTACTTTCAACAAACACCTAGACTATAACAGGTTCTTCTTGACAATCTTAAGAAATTAAATCCGTAAAACTGAGCTATTCCACTAAGGCAATTGGTTACAGAGGAAACTCGAAAGCCCTGGCTTTATGAATAGATTGTATTCAAACCATGACATTGTTCGGACACTTGGCAATTCGGTGTTTGCTCCACTGCTTTTGTCAGGCCGAAGACTTTGTGATGAGATGAACCCTTCAGTTAAACCTGATAAAAGTGATTATAATGTTAAGCTGTCCCTCTAAAGTAATTGGTTAAACGCCCCGACTTTATGGATTCAGCTAGCCAGACAATGGAAAATTAAATCAAATTTATCTGAGCAAGAAATTTTCGGTAATGTTAGACTAAGGGAGTTAAGGAACACCTGTTATAGTCGACTACACACGAGCACTCAAGAATTTCATTTTTAGACCGATATTTTTTCGCACTGCCTTTGTTGGAGGAGCCTACAAAGCTTGAACAAATGGAAGATTTCAGAGGACCGAAATAAAATGTCTAGTAATTGGTCATTCTAGTTGCGTCATTATGTCCGCACCCAAATGAAATGCCAAAGCATATTTCGATATTTAAAAAAAATGACATTTTGGGTTACCAAAACCTTAGAAAGGAGGCTAACCTAAAGCCAACTCATCCATTTGAACATTTGTCAAAGATTTGTAACTCTGAAAGCATTAAAAGAGCTCTTGATTCCTTTGATATTTTTTGAACTCACATTTACAATTTGATTCAATTGCGAACAATATTTTACAACATTTTTATCATGTCTCTCTCCTAAAACAAGAAAAAGGAGAAAAACATTTTCAAGCAGAACAGTCTCAAATATGAAAGGTCTGTAAAGCCAAAGCTCGGGAAGCAAATGGGGCACGATCCATTCCAAGGACCTGATTGACAGACAAAGCACGAAACTCCATCCAGAAGATAACACATAATTCATTCATATTGCATGCATATTAAACATACTTAGGTGCATCACATTCATCATTTTAGCATACACGTTTTTGCAGCTTTTAGAGTCAAGTTTTGACTTCAGGATGAAGGATACTCGATTCTCAAGCGCCTTCAAAGAAGGATGGTGATTGATTAACTCGGAAGTAAGAAGCTACACTTCGACCAACTCGACAGATTGAAAGTTTCTCTCGAAACATCACATTTTGCTCGAGAGCCAATTTCAACTTCACAACGAAGGATATTGGACTCCAGACAACGCAAGTTCAACTTCACGACGAAGGGACCGCTGGTTGTCAATAAACAATTTCCCAATTTCAGAGCCAATTTCAACTTCACAGCGAAGGATATTGGACTCCAGACAACGCAAGTTCAACTTCACGACGAAGGGACTGCTGGTTGTCAATAAACAATTTCCCAATTTCAGAGCCAATTTCAACTTCATAGTGAAGGATATTGGACTCCAGACAACGCAAGTTCAACTTCACGACGAAGGGACCGCTGGTTGTCAACAAATAATTTCCCAATTTCAGAGCCAATTTCAACTTCACAGCGAAGGATATTGGACTCCAGACAACGCAAGTTCAACTTCACGACGAAGGAACCGCTGGTTGTCAACAAACAACTTCTCAATTTTAGAGCCAATTTCAACTTCACAGCGAAGGATATTGGACTCTAGACAACGCAAGTTCAACTTCACAACGAAGGGACCGCTGGTTGTCAATAAATAATTTCCCAATTTCAGAGTCAATTTCAACTTCACAGCGAAGGATATTAGACTCGAGACAGCACAAGTTCAACTTCACAAACGAAGAGACGGCTGGTTGTCAACAAACAACTTCCCAATTTCAGAGCCAATTTCAACTTCACAGCGAAGGATATTGGACTCTAGACAACACAAGTTCAACTTCATAACGAAGGGACGGCTGGTTTTCAACAAACAATTTCCCAATTTCGGAGCCAATTTCAACTTCACAGCGAAGGATATTGGACTCCAGACAACGCAAGTTCAACTTCACGATGAAGGGACCGCTGGTTGTCAACAAACAACTTCTCAATTTCAGAGCCAATTTCAACTTCACGACGAAGGATATTGGACTCCAGACAACGCAAGTTCAACTTCACGACGAAGGGACTGCTGGTTGTCAACAAACAATTTCCCAATTTTGGAGCCAATTTCAACTTCATAGCGAAAGATATTGGCCTCGAAACAACTTAACTTACATTGGATTTCAACTTCACGACGAAGGATATCCAAATCCAAGGCTCAACTTCACGACGAAGGAGCCATATACAATTCCAACTTCACAAACGGATTGACCCAACTTCGCGACAAATGAGTCATCTGTAACACCACAACACCAAAGTCTTCAGGTCAAGTTTCACATTCGCGATGAAGTATCTTGAGCCAGAAAACGATTTAGAGGCCACTTGCCAAAAGTTCTGAGTTCAATTTCAACTTCACGACGAAGGATATCGTGCTCAGAAGCTTCCAGTTCAACTCGACCTCACGACGAGGGAGTCACTCCATATTTCAGTTCAATTTGACAAACCAATTTCAATATCGGATTTCAACTCTACGACAGAGGATATTCGATATGGCCGAAATTTGTGTCTTTTTCATCTTTGCCCTATTCTTGTTAACACAAAAATGAGCAAAGATGGGCAGCTGTAGACACCTAATTTTGCCCTCATATTATTACGATCATATTAGTATAATATATTTATATAGTGTTTTATCTCATTATAATTATATTATATGGTATGTTTAACACATTTTTTTATATTTCTTGTATCAAGCCCAACAGTGAACCAAGTCCAGTAGAGCAGCCCGTGCCACCCAGCAACAGAAACCCTATCGCCGCATGCTCCCTGCTCCTCTCTGCGCCGCATGGAGTCAACCCTAGCATCCGAGTTTCACGGCAACACGACTCTATCTCCGAAGCATTCGGCTCAAGCAAAACAACCACCGAAAGTATTTTAGTCCAAATAAAATACTGAAGATTCGGAACCAAAAATAGCCTATTTCGTTGTTATAAATCTCGAACACAAACAGGGGGGAAGGGGGAGGAAATATTCAATTCGATACGAGATAAAACAGGGGAGAGTATTATACAATAGAGAGGAAGAACGCTGCTGTATTTTCGACAAATAAAGAATCAATAAAGCTTTTTTTTCAATCTCTTTCTTCTGGTACAATTTTGGTTTGCATATTTTTTTATAATAGTGAAGATCAACATGTAAAAGCAATAGCCTAGTGAGGGAGAGAAGAACAGAACGTGAAACAAATAGAAGGGAAGGAGTCTTCCCATTTGGCCGACGACGGCAATCAGTGTACGGCGGTGACGGATGTCGACAATGAGCGGCGGACCAGGACCAACATCGATCGTCGTGGTAGCTCCAGCCCCAGCTTCCGAAAATCAGACCAGTGTAGAGAAAGCTCTCTCTCTCACACACACGATTTGAGAAAGAGAATGAATGAACCAATTTTTCTTAATTTTGGTTCTCACACTCAACTGAACGTGCCAAACTATTCCAGGGTGTAACCCACTTAATTTGAAGAAGTCTGGAAAAATCATTCTCTCGGCCCCATATTCCCAACCAATTCAGAGAACGAAATCTCAAAGATAAGGCAAATGAATAGGAAAGCCATTATTCTGGTCTCCTATTGCGTGAGATTAAACAAAATCTGAAGTGGTTGTAAACTTTGGGTAAAATCTCGCCATGGTCCCTCAATTATTTTGAGTTTTTTTTTTCATTTCATTTATCTTACTACTTTTAAAATTTTTAATTTTTAATTTATTTTATTTTCTCTTTGATTTTTTTAATGTTTATTTATTTTTTTTATTTTTTACTTTTAGGTTTTTTTAATTGATCAAAGGTAACTATTCGAATCGGGTTTTTAAATTTCAATTTTAATTTTTAATTTTCGCAACTAAGACAATCGATAAATTAATTGGTACCGAAAGGACGGTTCAAGGGTGCTAATCCTTCCTTGGCCGTAACCGACTCCCGAATCCGACACGTTTCTGGTACAACGCAGATCATATAAGATGGTGTTCGACCCACCTAAATTCGTTTTAAAGTGGTCAGTGGCGACTCCAATCCATATTTTTCAAGTCGAAGCCCAATTCTAATGCCCAACCGAGAGACGGTTGCGACACCCTACAAATGTATACAATTTTACAACCGGAGGAACCTGATACAGATTTCGGTTACGAAGAGAAGGGGATATGTGTGGCTATTAGAGGGCTCCGAGGATCTCGGTCGAAAGGGGTAAAAGTTTCACTGTACTCCAAGGCAGGAAGACATTCATGCGGCGACATGGAAGCGAAAGGGTCGGCGGTGGAATCACAGTCGATGACGGTGGTTCTCGAGACGATGGAAAAAGCGAGTGCCTTCAGCCAAGTCGTGCTGGTTTTCGGAAAGCTGCAAAGGAAAATATCGGAACGTTGAGCTGAGATGGTTGTGGCCACCAAAGACACGTCCGAGTACCAAAAGCCTTGGTAGAATAAATTCAAGCCTGCTCGTCTGGGAAGGGTTGAGGTTACTTCCTTTTCATCACCATGAGCACTTTGATTTCTCTTGGACTCCATGGACGGAAAGCAAATTGAGTCTGGAACTATCAATTTTGTGGAGGGACATAGTTTTATACGTACTTGCACATCAACTACACATGCTGCTGATGTAATTGTAAGGAATTGTGAATTCATTTAAATATTTAATTAATTATAAAAAAAAATTACATTGGACCTGATCAACTCGTATTGGTTAGCCTTGTCTTTCAAAATGAGGTGTATCTATGTATAGAAAAACATATATTTTTCGTTTTCTGACTTCGTGAAAGAGACGGAAAATGTTTTCTAGCTTAGAATAACAGCGTTGACATATTCAAATTTATTACAAATTAGGGTAAACTACACTAGTACTCCTTGGACTTCTAAGACTCTTATACTTCGGCCGCCAAAAATGTTAAAATTGAAACTGCTAATAGAGTTTTGAGTAAACTACGGGATTGATCAATTTTGTTTTAGTTTTGTACATTTTTCCTCACTAAATTAAAAAAATATTTGATCACTTTCATTTATATTTAATTAAGATGTGTTCACTTTTGTTTAATTTTCTTCAACTTTTCTCAGTAACGATAGTCAAAATTTTAATGACGAAACATATAAAAATCGATAATGTAAGTAACGACATTTTAATCAGATAAAAATAAACATGATCACGTCTTAATTAAATGAATACAAACATGACCCTATCTTAATGAAATAAAGACAAAAATAATCAAATATTATGTTTTTTGAATTCAATAAGAAAAAAATACAAAACTTAAACGAAAGTGACAAATTCTATAACTTGCACTAGAGTTTTTTCCATCCATTTTCAGTAGTCATTGTAAATAGACATTCTCAACACTTTCACAGCTACTTTAAATACCGATAATTAATCTAATTATCTTCAAATACTGTATCCATTTAAAATTTTCAAAAATATTTTTAAATCTCATAAAATTAAATACAATAATATATCATTTTGGGTGAAATGACCATCCAGCTCAGTTGGTAGAGTACAAGGTTTCTTAACCTTGAGGTCGTGGGATTGAGTCCTATGGAGGGCATTTCATAATTTGAAGGTCTCCTATGGAAGCTGCTCTCAACCTAGTGTTGGGGGCAGCCTACTATCTTACATTCCCTTACCCCATTATATATGGGAACAAGGGACAGCCATTTGAATATATCATTTTGGGTATACACGGATCAGGGAGTGTGTTGAGGTGGATCACACCCCTTAAAAATTTTAAACTTTCGCGTAATTTAGATATTTATTTTATATTTAATATTGATAATATATTTTCGCACCATTAAAATTTCTAATATAATTTCTTGAGTTCATACTTTTGAGTTTTGACATAAAATCTTAACGTCGATCCCTGCTGTAATGGTTTATGAGCTTTCTCAAATTTGAGGAGCTAAAAAATATTTGTTCAAGAATTCGAATGACAAGAAACATTCATTCGAAAATATAAGCAATATACTTATAAACAATCTCATAAAAGAATTCATGAGAGGAGATCGAAACATTAATAGCAAAATGTGTTTGGAATGTTTGAATGCCAATCCAAACTCAAGCATTACATGGTATAGATGAGAGTTTAGAGAATACCAGTCCCGGGGAACTGGAGATAGGTATGGAGGGAGAGATTATTCAAATGATCTCTGAGTATTTAAACGAGAGATGAATGTAATTATTTTTTACCATAGATCAAATTTAAACCCGAACCACTGAGCTTCTTCTCGGTTATCAAATCCATATGAGCCGCCATCTCTGGTGTCAAATGATTTTCCCAATCATTCACGGTTCCTTTACGAAAATACAGTTTATTTTCCATTTCCCATGGCGTGTTCTCTGCAATCTTTCCATTCTTATTCACTTCGAGGTTACTTAGATGATCGAAACTGCACATTCTTACAATCTTTTCCACCACCCTGTTTCCTTCTTCTTCCAACGTGAATCCGTATCCAATAAATTCGGCCAATTTCCTGACGTGGAAAGCTGTGTTTTCCTTCATGTCTTCGTATTTCAAGAACAGGATTCTGTCTGGTTGATACAAACTTGCTTTCCAATACCCTAAAACATGGTCCCAATACGGTCCGAAACTTGATGCTCCTTCGCAGAAAAACTCGAAAGCTTTATTGAGAGGGACCGGTTCCATGTTCCTCGACGCCGCCAGTTTGGCAAAGAAGTGGTACATGGAAACGAAGGTGTCTTTGGGGTCCCTGCAAATGTAAACAATTTTACAACCGGAGGAATCTGATGCAGATTTCGGTAATGAAGAGAAGGGGACATGGGTGGCTATTAGAGGGTTCCGAGGATCTCGATGGAAAGGGGCGAAAGTTTCAGCATACTCCAAGGCGGGAAGACATTCATGCGGCGACTTGGAAACGAAAGGGTCGGCGGTGGAATCACCGTCGACGGCTGTTCTCGAGACAATGGCGAAAGCGAGTGCCTTCAGCCAAGTTGTGCCAGTCTTCGGAGCGGTGCAAACGAAAATATCGGAACGTTGAGCTTGGAAGTGTCGTTGAGCTGAGATGGTTGTGGCCACCAACGACATGTCCGCGTACCAAAAGCCTTGGTACTTAACGAGATTCAAATTGAATGAATTCAAACCTTGTCGTTTGTGAAGGGTTGAGATTAATTCTTCTTCTTCACCGCGGGAGCTTTGGCTTCTCTTGGAATCCATGGTGGACTCCATGGAACTACCAATTTTGTGTAGCGAATTGCGTTTGTTGACGTTAGTAGGCGGAGGGGCATGTTTTTATAGACGATTGCATACCAGCTACATATGTTGCTGATGTAATTGTACAGAATTGTTAATTCATTTATATATTTAATTAAAATAAAAAATTAATTGGACCTGAACAACTCGTATTGGTTAACCATGCCTTTCAAAATGAGGTGTATCTATGTATAGAAAAACATACATCCATAATTATAACAATAATTAATACAAAACCGTGATATTTAAATAACTCTGTATTTATCTTTTATATGCTCACGAATTTGTTCTTTATGTATATTTTCCGTTCTACTTATGCCGCATAATCATATTGTGATTAGAATAAAGAATAGCAGACGCTAACCACCGTTGCTTTTGTCACGTCGTACTTATGACTTCCGTTTCTGACTTTGTGAAAGAGACAGAAAATGTTTTCTAGCTTAGCATAAACGAGCGTTGATAAAGTCAACGTTAACTAAGAAATTAGGATTAATTTCACTAATACTCTCTGAACTTTTAAGTTCTTATAATTTGGTCACCAAAAATGATGGAATTGATTTTATGTATTTATTTCATTCACACAGGTATCACTAAACTAATTACCTGGTTTGTTCATGTAGGGTAACCTAAAATGATGGAATTCTCATTCAAAACAGAAGGAACGGACCTAATTGTAGACACTTGTTAAGAATAAAAAGTGGAAATAACATAAATAAAAGGTGTGTTTGTTTGAAGGAAAACACTTTACGAAAAATATTTTCCTAGTTACCCATTTTTCCTGTAAAAATGACTTACCGATTGAAATCTGGTAAATCATTTTACAATCCGCACTCTAACTTTCTTTTAGCGTCCAAGAATATCCAGCCATATGTTGTTAGCTCAAGCAGATTTTTGCAATGTATTTGATTTGCTTGTGTTGTGCTATATAGTTGGTTGCATATACGTATTTACTTACGCATAGTTAATCAGGTGGGAAACTTATGATTTATCTACGAGCTTCGGCATTGCAACAACATGAAATTTTTAGAAAAGGACAAGACGAAGAAAGAAACGTTTAGAGCATAGTATTGAGTTAATGAGATGATAGAACAATTGGTGGTGTTTCCTTTGTAGTTTTTTTTTTCCTTGATTCAGTTTTTGCTTACAAAATTGTTTGTTTCGTTGGGTGTGAATCTAAACTGATCTTAGTGTTTTGAGGTCCTACAAGACAAGACTGTTGGTTTTGATTGTAATGGCTTATAACCATACTCGATTACAGTAACAAAAAGTTATTTTGTCATGAGAAAAAATAGTAGCATATACACCTATTATGGTACTATCCACATACGATACATATTCAAAACTTTAAAGCATTATACTTTATATTCAAAAATTTATAAAATATAATTTTATAATAATAAAAGCAATTCAATAAAACTAAAGAATAAGAAAATTCATAAAACATGTATGTTTGTTTATTGAAAATAAATTTTGAAATTTTTTTTTAGAAAAATCAATTAAACAGCAAAAAAACATTTTACATCGTAATATTCAAACAATGAAAAATATTTTTTAAAAATATACTTTGTTTGGTAGAAAATATTTTGAATGAAACAATGATAGCCAACATATTATATATGGTCCATGGAGTTGTGTAATCATACAAGAAGCAGTGGCCTAGTTGTCATCTAATCAGTAGACAATAAAGTACATATTAGATTTAAGACTGTCCTTGAAACATGTTACCGGCAAGGAGAAATACAATATAATCTGTATATAAAAGGGAAAAAGAAAAGTGTTGATTAGAGTGGTGTAAAAGAAAAAGGTTAATATTCTCGATTTCACTTACTTTTCTTTTTTCTTTTTCCGATCTACAGGGAGGGAGATGGTTCCGAAGCAACATAGTCGTTTACTTTTTGGGTTAACTATGTGATTAACCAGTTATATTTGTATTTTATTTTTTTTCTTACTGATTTTAAGAATATAATATATAGTCATTATCCTTTTTATTTAATTAAAATATACTCACCACAAAAATCAAATATTTTTGTATAATCACATATTTTTTTGATAAGTAACTACTCACCACAAAAATCAAATATTTTTGTATAATCACATATTTTTTTGATAAGTAACTTATATTCATCCAAAGAAAGCAACAAAGCTGCTACAAAACAACAGAAAACACTATATCAGTCCCCAACTCATATACAAGTGCATATTTACATCATCTCTTCTATGTGTAGAGTGTCTATACAATTTATATTGAACTGTTTCTTTGATCAATGTAACAATCGCTTCAACTGAACGCGAATATCTCCTAAAAATCCTGTGGTTACGCTCCTCCCAGATGTAGTACAAATAAGCAGTCCATGCGAGCTTTAAAAATCGAACTCGGAGGGACTTACCTCTCAAGTTCTCAACCAGCCAGTTCATTCGTTCATCCCAGCTGTACAGACCAGAACGAATCCCACACACTACAAGAGCAGCGTCCCAAACTTCCTTAGCAAAGAAACAATTAGCAAAAAGGTGGTCACGTGTTTCCAGCCCATTGTCACACATAATACAACCATTATCCATTTCAAAACCAAAACGAATCAACATGTCCTTAGTAGGCAGTCTATTGAGGATGACCATCAACGAAATGAGAGAACATTTCGGGATATGAACAGGGAACCAAATGATTTTGTGCCAACTAACCTTCTCTCTGCTGGTTCTAATATTTTCCCATATCTGTTTGCTGTAAATTAGACTCCAATCAGTACTAAGAAGAAACAAAGTTCTAGCCACCTCACGGAGATTCAACAATTTTTTAATAATCCAACTGAAATGGCCTTTACATATCACTTCCCAATAACTCACATTTTTAAAACAATATTCTTTAATCCAAACTATCCAAATAGAACCTTCATTAGCCAGAATATTTTTAATTAGCAGTAAGCAACATGCTTTACTCCACAAGGATAGGTCTCTATGGCCCAGATCACCCTCAAACTTCAAGGAACAAATGTGATTACATCCAACACGAGCTCCCTTAGCAGGGGAGTCACTGCCCTTCCAGAAAAACCACATGCATAGCCTCTCGATGTCCCTAACAATCCCCTTAGGGAGAATGAGTTGCATGCTCCAATAATTAAAAATATTGTGCAACACTTTCTTGATCAGCTGAAGTCTGCCCTCAAAGCTAAGCTTCTTGCTAGACCATTGAGAGAGCTTGTCCTTGATTCTCCCTAAAAGAGCGGCACAGTCTTTACTAGTGAGTTTCCGAGTGACCAGGGGCACTCCAAGGTATCTAACAGGTAACTGAGCCACTCTAAATCCGATAACGGATTGAATCTGATCAAGGGTACTCCCACTTAGCCCACAGGCGAAAAGTTCAGTCTTCAGAGCATTAAGCTTGAGACCTGACATATCTTAAAACCCTTCGAGAATACATTGAACACCAAGAATAGATTCAAGAGAGCCATGACAGAATACAAGGAGATCATCAGCAAAACTAAGGTGAGTTAGGGAGATTCTTCTACATTTAAGATGAAATTTAAAAATTCCATGCTTAGCAGCTTTGTTCAACATAGCAGAAAGAACATTCATCACCATGACAAAAAGATAAGGAAACAATGGATCACCTTGTCTAATCCCCCTTGCCCCCTTGAAATACCCCACCAAACTATCATTCAAGCACACATAATATTTTGGGGTAGTAATACAAACCCTGATCCAGTGACAGAAAACCTCAGAAAAGCCCATAGCCTCAAAAACAGTCAGCAAAAAATCCCAGTTAATTGAGTCAAAATACTTATGTATATCAATTTTAACAACACATCTAGGAGAAAGTCCTTTCCTAGAGTAATCTTTAACAATATTCTGGGCTAAAAGGGTGTTATCAACAATACTCTTACCCTTAACAAAGGCTGACTGGTTGTAGGAAATCATGCCAGGGAAAAAAGGTGTAAGCCTATTAACCAAGATTCTGGTGATTGTTTTGTAAACAATTGAACAACAGGAAATAGGCCTAAACTCTTTTGCCATACATACATTTAGGGACTTTGGGACCAGAACTATGATAGTAGTATTAAAAGCAAGCAACAATTAGGAAAAGTGAAAAAAATACCTTACATCAGCAATGAAATCACTGCCAACAATGCTCCAGGCAGATTTAAAGAAGCCAGAAGTATAACCATTAGGACATGGGCTTTTGTACACACCTTGCTTAAAAAGAGCTTCTTTAATCTCCAAATCAGTCACATCCTTTGTTAGTAAGGTGTCTGCATCTTCTGGCAAGGAGTAGTTCAACAGGTCCTTCAAAGCTACAGCTGAACACCCTTTAACAAGATAAATCAGGGGAGCCAATGAGGTTAGTGAAATAGCCCACTAGCTCAGAGGATATTCCTTCAAAAGAATCATGGCATTGACCATCCTCACTCTTAATGACCCTAATAGAATTCTTTTTCTTGTTGGAGAGAACCCTTTGATGAAAAAACTTTGTATTCAAGTCACCCTCTCTTAGCCAATGGACCTTGGCTTTTTGCCTATAGAAAGCAGCTTCAGCAACTTTCAAGTCAACTAAGTCAGTATGAACCTTCATTTCTTCTTCAATCCTCCTCTGATTAAATTGAGCTAGATTGAAAATCCGAATCTGCTCCAATTTTGCCCTCTTGGCTTTGACTCTACCAGAGATATCAACAAAAAATTTTGAATTAAATTGCTTAAGAACATGCTTAAGTCTTTTCAACTTGTTGAACAAGCAGCACATAACATCCCCACCATATTGGTGCTGCCAAGAATCCCTAACAACATCAAGGAATTTTTCATGACCAGACCAAATATTATAAAACTTGAATGGTCGAGGCTTCTTAGCCATAATGCCCTTATGAGTCCACAACATTCCAAGGCAATGGTCAGATACTCCCTCGGCCTTGAATTCAACAAACGAGTCAGGGAAATCAACCATCCATTGATCATTAACAAGGATTCTGTCCAACTTTCGAGCCAGGAAGGATCCTTCTTGCTTATTGGACCAAGTGAATAAAGGTCCAAGGAAAGGGTGGTCCATGAGCTCAAGGTCTTCTAAACAGTCTTGAAAGTCCTTCATATCAAGGGTACAGTGAATCCCCATGATGTCAAAATCAGAACTCTCCTCAGCCTTGGCAATGATGTTAAAGTCCCCCCAACCAGCCAAGAGGAGGGGCCAATATCCTTCTCAACAATACCCAAGTGTTCCCAAAGTCTTCTTCTAGCAACACCACGGTTACTGCCATAAACAACAGTAATAGTAGTCACATGCCCATCAACAGACCCAGTGATAGATATGGACTGGTCACATCATCTCAAAACTGAGAAAGAGATGTGCTTCCTCCAAAAGACCCACAATCTACCTCCTTCAATAAAATCATAATTTCCAACAAAATACCAATCATCAGATAAAGCAGAAGTAAAGCTAACAGAATTCACACTACGAATACGAGACTCCATCAAACAAAATATATCAACCTCACAAGAAAATAACCTCTTTAACACCTTCAGTTGTTTACGGGGGTTATTAATCCCCCTAACGTTCCAGAAGCTGACAATCATAAAAAAGAAGCAACCTGAGCACTAATCCCTATGCTCGAATTCACCATAAAACTTCTAGCTTTCTCAAGGTGATATTTCTTTTTGGTTTTATTTCATTAAACAGCATGACAACCCCCAAAGAAGCCACACGAGCTTTCCTAATGCCCTCAGCTACAGCTTTGACTTTACTTGAAGAACCAATAACCTCTTTTTTTCCTTCCCTTTTGCTTCTTCTTCAAGGAATCCTGTAAGGTTGGGAAATCACTAGATTGGTCAGTGCTCTGTGTATGAATGAAACCATCAGTAGGTACCCTCTCATGTACTGTAGATACAGAATCTGACAGCTCCAGTGACACAGAAGCATCTGATAACTTCTATGTCTCAGTAGCAGTTCGTGGAAGACTAGCAGTATCCTTACTAACTCTCATCAAATTAGGCATATTGTTCTCTTGTAAAGCAAGCACTATTCTCTCCACAGTATTTCCCACAAGTAATCCTTTAGGGTTGCAGATAGAATCGGGAGGCAATGTTGAGCTTTGAGAAATCTCAATTGGTGCATTAGCAGTCCCTGTGTCAGTAATAACAGTAACATGCAAGCTACCCTTACTAACAGTCTCTGTGCCCTTACTATCCTTCTTCCTCCAAACTTGCACCTCTTTTGATTTCTGATGGGGCTGCCTGACATCAATACACGAATTGACATGGTGCCCAAATGTTTTACACTTAGCACAAAATTTGGGCAACCAAGGAACATGAACTCTAACATTCACATAGGAGCCATCCTTTAAGATAACCTGAATGGATTCTGGGATGGTGACACCAGCTTCAATTTCCACGCACACCTTAACATATTCGAGTCTCTCTCTTGAAGTTGTAATAGTGTCCATGTACAATGGGTTACCTAAAGCACTAGCAAGATAACTAAGCCCTTCTGGGAATAGAGTTCTAATGGGACATTGTATAGTTGAACACAAATTGGGACAAAGGTGAGATCAAAACTAAGCTTTTGCATACCAGGTGACCAGCTCCTCAAGAACAATGGTTTATTCTGAATATGCCAAGGTCCATTATCCAGGACCCAATCCCTTAAACCAACATCTAAGAACGAAAAAATAAATAGGTTATGGTCGGTATGGAGAATAGGGATATCGTCAATCATCTTCATCGTCAGTTTCAGGCCCACAAGATGATTGACGATGAAGATCTGATGATGAAGAAATTGAAGAGTCCATTATCGATTTGGAGATATTAAAACGTTTTCTGTGATATGGAGATTGAAATCGCGTTTAGGGGATCGAAAAAGTGCAAACTGGAAAGTTTGAGCTACATCAACTGACATATGCGTCGACAGAAGATTGTAAACGCCGCAATCGACGAGCTCCTCCATTAAGTTTTAATATCGAGTATTAAAATGAAATAAAAATTAAATATTATATATGATTTAAAAAATAAAAAATTAAATATTAAAACATATTAAAATTAATAATTTATATATTAAATATGTAGTTTACCCAAATTAGACAACTTGCAAAGTGGGACGAGTCTATAGAGCAGAGACAATGGAATGAAGGATAGGCCTAGTGATTCCCCTATAAAAACAATAAAAAAAATAGAACCTAAAATGTCTACCGTCACGTCATCAATCCCAGTGAACCCCTTTTCTAAGCGTCCGATTATATCCGTCAATAGAATCATATCCGTTCATTTTTATCCTTTTTTTGCAACTGATTATCAAACAGTATCTAAAGCTGTTTTGGCTTTGGGACTTAATTTGTGAGGAAATTTTTTGAAAACCAAAGAGAAAAGGTTGAAGTTCAAAGCTTCGTTGAAGGAATTGAATCTTTCGTTTTCGCTGATTTTATTGTTGGGTGTGCAAAAATTTAATGGCTACTGAAGAGGCCAATAAGCCTCCTCCACTTCCTTGTTACCCACAGGTGCATCTACTCTCCACTCTCTCCTCAAAATTAATCTCCTTTTTTTAACTAATGATCAAAATTTGATCTTTAACTTTTTTTTATAGTTTACAGTTGATTTTTGATGGAATATGAAAGAAACCCATTTTCATTCAACCTCAAAGTTCATGAATTTTGATGCAATTTCATGTTATTTTTGCTGATTTAATACTTGTATAGTACAATAACTTTCTAAAAAAGCGATTTTCTCTTGTTTTCTCATCTTCAATTCAGTTTACTTGTATAAATTTGCTTCATTTCACTGATTTTTCCCCTGATTTCTTCTGATGTTTTTTTATATGAAAAAAGGACAAGTTGCTTTCAGAATTGTCATAAAACTTGGATTTCCTGTATGTTTTTCATGTTGATCTCTTCTTTGTTCCTGACTGCAGTTTTTTATATTCATCAGCGAAGTTTCTGTCAACCACATGAGAATTTTATTTTTCTTTTGTAATTTTACATGCTAGTTTAAAATCGCTTGATAACTCGTCTAAGGTTTTATCATGCAGCTAATTATTAACGCCATTGAAGCATTGGACGACAAGAATGGTTCAAACAAGACTTCAATATCCAAATACATAGAGTCCAAGTATGGAGATTTGCCCACAGGCCATTCCACTCTCCTTTCTCACCACCTTAACAGATTGAAAGAAACCGGAGAGCTTGTGTTTTGGAAAAACAATTACATGAAAGCCGATCCCAATGCCCCACCAAAGCGTGGCCGTGGTAGGCCTCCAAAACCCAAGGTCCCATTGCCACCTGGTATGGTTTTAAGCTCCGGAAGGCCTCGGGGCCGCCCTCCTAAGGACCCCAATGCTCCCCCTAGGTCCCCCAAGCCTTCCGGGAGTGGGAAACCACGTGGAAGGCCGAGGAAGATGACTCGACCCGAGGGGGGAATAGGTGGGAGCTCCACGACTATGATGTCGACCTTGGCCGTAAGGCCGAGGGGACGTCCCCCTAAGGTCAAGGCTTCAGCATTGACTGAAGTGAGCGTTGAACATTGAGAGTGGCTTTTAACTTGTAGTAGTGCTTACTATTTTACTTTACGTCTCGTGTTTGTTTGTTGTGAAATTTGCAGGGTGTTTGTTGGTGTGAGAATTGTGTGTGTGAGCTTGAAGTGTTCTTGTAGAAAAATCTAATGTAGTTGTACTTGAGAGGCTTCGAATCTTTTCTTTTGAATTTGAAGTTGTTGTAGAGGATGATGATTAATGCTAATGATGATCTCTGTTGTTCACTTTGTCGTATTCAACGAATATCTCTATGCTGTGAGTTTGCTTCATTGTTAATGTAATGCTTGCTTACCGATGATCTCCAAACTCTTCGTTCACGCATGAGAACGGTATACAAATATACGATGCTTCAACTGCGTGAAGAAAGCGAGCATATACCAGTGTCGGCATTCGAAGCATAGATGCTTTCTTGCCTGGACATTTGGCATAGCATTCAAGTAAGCTGTTGCTTTGGGATCATCTGTAGTTGCTTTGAAGTTCAGAAAACAGTCCACTGGTTTATGATACCTTTTTTTCTAGATATTTTTACTTTCATGTGAATTGGGATGATCGTGTTATCGGACAAGCTTAAGATTCGTTTAAAGGAAGTAGGAGGTGGTGGGGAAGGTTTGGGATAATTATAGGTGTGAGGTTCCTTTCACCATTAAGATGTTGATGTGTTACCTAGATAAATTGTTAAAAAATCGTAAATGTTAGTTTTCAGTTATTTGGTTAGTTAGTTTGTTATTAATTAGTTAGATTGTTAGTTAGGTTAGTAACTGCTGATGAGTTGTATATAAAGGATTTAGTCTTGTAAACTTTATTATATGATAAATAAAATAGCTGGAGCACGTTTTCTGTAATTATACCTTTTTTAACATGGTATCACAAGTTAGCTAATTTTTCCCTTGACTCTGCTTCGTTTGGTCAAAATTAGGGATTTCTCTTCTCTTTTCTCTCCTTCGTAGCCATGGAGAATTCTGCCTTTGATTTCAACCACCCGTTGTTCCTGCATGCTTTCGATGCACTGGGATTCCTTCTTGTTCGTTTCAGCTTCTCGGCATTGAGAACTACGGTGTGTAGAGTCGGTCGATGAAGATTGCCCTACTTGCGAAAAATAAATTGGGATTTGTTACTGGTGACTGCCGACGAGAAGATTTCGATGAGTTTCTACGTCCTCAATGGGAGAGGTGTAACGCTCTCGTCTTGTCTTGGATTCTTAACACAATCAACAAAGAGCTCTTCGCTGGGATTGTTTTCGCATCCAGTGCTGCCTCGGTTTGGCAGGATTTGAGGGAAAGGTTTGCCAAAGTTGATGGTTCTAGATCCTTTTTCCTTCACCGAGAAATCGCACTCCTGAATCAAGGTGATTCCTCCATCTCAGTCTATTTCACTCGACTTAAATCACTTTGTGATGAGTATGAAGCCTTGGCTCCCATTTCCCCTTGTGATTGTGCTCTTTCACAACGAACGATTGCTCACTATGCACAGTAGAAATTATTTCAATTTCTCATGGGTCTCAACGAGACATACACTGCTGTTCTGAGCCAAATTCTACTCATGTAGCCATTGTCGACTGTCAATATGGCGTATTCGATGCTGGTCCAGGAGAAATCACAGAGGATTCACTTTTCTGCCCTTTCTCCAATTTCTGAGGTCTCGGTTTTGTACTCTACCTCTACTGGGACTGTTGATAAAAAAAGATTTTCTGGTGTGTGTGACTATTGTAAAGCTCGAGGGCATAAATGAGAGAATTTCTACCGGTTGATTAGATTTCCTGTCGATTTTAAATTCTCAAAGAAGAAAGGAGGCCAGGTTGTTATGGCCTCTACTCGATCTCCTCTTGGTTCTCACAACCAGTCCAGTTCTGAGTCACAGCCGGATACTGTCTCCAGTGTTCATGTGTTTACAAAGGCTCAGTATGATCAAATACTTTGCCTCTTGAACAAGGCACCTTCTGAGGATACAATGCCAACTGCAGTAGCAAATACTGCAGGTATTAAATCTGCCACTACTAGTCTTTCTTTCAATTGGATATTAGACTCAGGGGCCATTGACCATATGTTATCTGATTTTCAAAAACTAGTATCTCATGTTCCTTGCACATCATCCTCTAAATTTGTATACTTACCTAATGGCCAAACAACCCCCATAACATATATAGGTTCTTTTTCTCTTGACCAAAATAATTCCCTTAAGAATGTCTTGTTTATTCCAAATTTTGCACATATCCTTTTGTCTGTTTCTAAGCTGACCAAAGAGCTTAATTGTACCGTTTCATTTTACCCTGACTTCTCCATTTTACAGGATCTCTCCACTGGAAAGATGAAGGGGATTGGTAGGGAGTCTCGTGGGCTGTATTTTTTTTATTCTTCAACTTTTTGATTATGGTATTTTTTCTGTTAATCATTGTAATTCTTTTTCTTGTGGTTCTGCCTTGGGTTCTTCAAATTGTATGAATCTTTCAACTGTCAATAATACACAAAGCTTTGGCATGCTCGTTTAGGAAACTCTTCTTTCTCTAGTTTACATAAAATTCCATATTTACAATCTCATAAGTTTCATGCTGACAGTATCCATAAATGCTCAATTTGTTCTCTTGCTAAACAATCTAGGTTACCTTTTCCACACAGTGTTTCTAGAGCTTCTGCGCCTTTTGATTTGGTACATATTGACCTATGGGGACCCTATAGGATTTTCACTCATAGTGGTTATAGATCTTTTCTCACCATTGTTGATGACCACACAAGGATGTCTTGGATTTTTTTGTTGAGGCTTAAGAGTGATGTAATCCTCTCTTTAAAACAATTATTTGCCTATGTAAAAATCATTTTTCAGTCACAATCAAGTACATTAGAAGTGATAATAGTTATGAGTTTTTTTGTTAATGATTGTTCTTTTTTTTTCTTCATTGGGTATTGTTCATCAAAGTTCCTGTGTTCATACTCCTCGGTAAAATGGCATTGCTAAAAGAAAACACAAACATTTGTTAGAGTTAGCTAGAGCCCTCAAATTTCATTCTCAAGTTCCTTTTAAGTTTTGGGGGGAATGTGTCACTACAACCTGTTATATCATTAACATGCTGTCTTCTTCTTCTTTAGCTGGTAAAAGCCCCTTTGAACTTCTTTATGGTAAATCCCCCAATTTGTCTCATATGAGAGTTTTTGGTTATTTATGTTATGCCACCCAACCAAATTACAAGGATAAGTTTTCCCCAAAAGAAATACCTTCTGTCTTCATGGGTTATTCTGCCACTAAAAAAGGATATCTCCTCTTCAATCTTGAAAAAAAACCTTTTTTTAATAGAGATGTTAAGTTCCATGGGGATATTTTTCCCTTATAATTTCCCATTTCTTCTTCTTCTCTATTTTTTCCTATTCAAGAAATTTCTGATTCTGATTTTCTGGTCATGCCCCCTCACACCCAATCTTTTATACCTTCTGGGTCTTCACCTCATTCTGCATCACCTCAAGCTTCAACAGATGATTCCATTTTACCTCAACCTTCACCTCAGCCAATTATTTCTGATGGCTCTTCATCAAGTAGCATTTCTATCCCCCCTAAGCAGTCTATTAGGGTCAAAAAACGGCCTGCTTGGTTACATGATTATGTGCAATTCTACCAATCTTCCTCTCTTCCAGGTACTTATCCAATCTTTAATTTTCTTTCTTATTCTCATCTTACTGCTAAAACTCAAATTTACCTTTCTTCTATATCTCATTTAGTTGAGCCTAAGACCTATACTGAAGCCATTCAAAATCCTGAATGGATTAAAGCCATGAATGAGGAGATTTTAGCTTTGGAATCTAATAATACCTGGTCATTGGTACCCTTGCCTTCTAATAAGACTCCCATTGGAAGTAAATGGGTGTATCACATCAAATATAATTCGAATGGAGAAGTGGAGAGGTTTAAAGCTCGTCTTGTTGCTAAAGGATACACTCAAAGAGAATGAGTTGATTATGTTGAGACCTTCTCTCATGTGGCAAAGATGGTTACTGTTAGAACAGTCATGGCTCTTGCTTTTATTCATCAATGGCCTCTTCTTCAGATGGATGTCTACAATACTTTTCTCCAGGGTGATTTAGTTGAGGAGGTATACATGTCCCTACCTGAAGGATTTTGCTGTCAGGGGGAGACTAGGGTACACAGACTGCAAAAATCCTTATATGGATTAAAGCAGGCTTCAAGGCAGTGGAACATGAAACTCATATAGGCTCTTATGTTGGTAGGATATTCTCAAATCAAGTTTAACTACTCTTTGTTTACTAAGTCACAATGCAGCAAAGTAGTCATATTGCTCATATATGTGGATGATCTTTTGATAACTGGAAATGACAGTGGGTTGATTAAAGAACTCAAAGGAATTCTGAATAAAAGCTTCAAAATGAAAGATCTTGGTGAATTAAGGTATTTCCTTGGCTTAGAAATATTTAGATCAGAAAAAGGAATAATTATAAGTCAAATGAAGTATGCATTGGAGTTAATTGAAGAAACTAGATTGGGGGTGCAAGGCCTATTGTAACTCCTTTAGAATAAGAGGTTGATTTCAGAAGATAAGCTGTTAAAGGACAAGACAAGTTATCAAAGGTTGATTGGGAAGTTGATTTATCTCATCAACACAAGGCCTGACATTGCTTATTCAGTACAATTGTTGAGTCAATTCATGCAACAACCAAGGAAATTATACTTGGATGCAGCTTTGAGGGTTGTCAGGTATATCAAAAGCAGTCCAGGTTAAGGAGTGTTGTTAAGTGCAGGAAGTCAATGTCAACTTCAAGCTTTTTGTGATTCAGATTGGGCAACTTGCCCAATGACTAGGAGGTCAGTAACAGGTTTTTGTGTGAAACTGGGGGACTCTTCGCTATCTTGGAAGTCCAAGAAACAAAACACAATTGCAAGATCATCTACAGAGGAAGAATATCGTAGCATGGCAATTACTGCAGTAGAAATAGTGTGGTTAACAGGCTTGTTGAATGAACTTAGGTTTAAAAACACATGACCAGCAAAGTTGATGTGTGATAACAAGGCAACTCTTCAAATAACAGCAAATCTAATTTTCCACGAAAGAACAAAGCACATTGAAATTGATTGCCATTTTGTTCGAGAAAAAATTCAAGAAGGAATAATTAAAACAGAGTATGTGAAGACAACAGATCAGCAAGCAGACACTCTAACAAAAGCTTTGGGAGTTCAACAGCATGAATATTTGAGTTCCAAGTTGGGGTTAATCAACATCTTTAACCACCAACTTGAGGGGGAGTATTAGTTTTTAGTTATTTGGTTAGTTAGTTTGTTATTAATTAATTAGATTGCTAGTTAGGCTAGTAACTGTTGATGGGCTGTATATAAAGGATTTAGTCTTGTAAACTTTATTATATGATAAATAAAATAGTTGGAACACGTTTTCTGTAATTACACCTTTTTTAACAGTAAATTATTTGAAAAGTGACTTTGTCGTGTTTTTATTTTTTTCCAAAAAGTAATTAAAAACTAAAATTATTTTTTTTAAATCTCAAATTTCTCTAAAATTATAAAAATATATCTTAAATCTCTAAAATTCTTTAACATTCTTAATTTTAGTCCTTCTTCCCATAACTAAATTCAGGGTAAATTATGCATTTAGTCTTGAAAAGTCTTTGACTTGTTTTAGTATATAAACTTTTAATTTTTTAAAATCATACTTAATGTTTAGTTTTTGTTTTATTTTAGTACCACGCTATTAAAATATTAACATATTTATTACCTAAACTATATGTTTTGATCCGTTTTAGTGTCTAAATTTTTTATTTTTTTAAAATTTAGCGTTAAATTTTGAATGAGATATTAAAATGAAACAAAAACTACACCTTAGATTTAATTTTAAAAATATTAGAAGTTTAAGTATTAAAATATATCAAAATTAATAATTTAGATACTAAATACATAATTTATCCTTGTATCTAATCCCTCTTACCATAGTTAACTACCACCAACATCATCGAATCTCAATGTTATACGATCCTCATCGATCGAAATCCTTGGCTTTTACGGTCAACACTGCCACTTTCACCCGCTGGGACAAGGGCGATAAAATTCGGGGTTCGATGATTTCTCCTGCGCAGGTGTATTAAGGGTGTGATAAAATGGAGTTCTTCCATGGTAAGAAGGATTGAAATTAAAACTTTATGAATTTATAAGGTTTTGAAGTGTTCTAGATTTAAGAAAATCTTGATTTTTTTTTAAAAAATAATTTCTAAAAAAATTATAGACATAACACGTGTAATGTTTTAAGTGTTTGATAGTTAATTTATGACTAATGAATCACGTACTAAAATTAAAAACATTAGATATCTATATTGAATTAAAAAAAAAACTTTGAACGCATCTAAAAAATAATATGGTTTAGAAAACTAATTTTTAATTAACCATAAATAAATGTACAATTTCTATTCATGTTTGTACATCTCACATTTTTTTCACTAATCTATGTATAAAGTCAGAAAGAAGCCGAAACCGAGCCGCCAAAACTGGACCAAAGGAGGATATCTTTTAAGCCGGATAAGCAAGCCCCAGCTCTACTATACACGTGCCATCGTTCTCACCCGTGTCGTATTCCTCCAATTTCCGTTTCTTCGCCGGCACCACTAGAGGACATGCACGTGAAATCGCCGATCGAACCCCCAACGTCAACTCCAGCCCAAGCTCACCGCTTCCCTCCTCGGAAACCTTTCCTCCGAACTCCGGCTCCTCCGGAAACAGTCGCGACGCCGGAGTCGTTTCTTCCGAGATCATGCTCTCGGTTTCTTTACTTTCCCCGTCCATAACTGCCAACTCGGACTGATGGCTCAGTGAAGACTCGTGACTGGTCGATCGGTTCCCCTCGTCACTACAATAACGCGGCTCCCTTTTGGCTTCCGCGTTTCGGCTCTCTACCTCTACCACCTTCTTATTATTCCCCTTCCGCTTCACAGTTCTCTTGACTCGGCACCGATTCTTTACTCGATCAACATCATCGGAATTCTCTTCTTTGGAAATATGACGAATGTCGAATGCTTTTAGAGGCGGCCCTCGACCATCCGCCGCATCTTCCGTGGCGATAGGCTTGATCGGAGCACCTTTTAGCACGGCTTCCACGGCGGCTTCACAAAGCTGCCAACTTTCGGACCACAATAACCCCACCGAACCATAAATTGGGTTCACAATCCGACCACAAGCCTCGTATAATAACGACCTAAAAATCCCTGAAAATTAACCCCAGAAACCCCCCCGTAAGTCTACAGATGATAAAACTCCATAATCTAAAAGCAAAAATAGAAAACATTTGAGAGTACTGACCAGGACGGAGGTGTTCGGGGCCGGCGTTGATGAGATTAAAGAGGCCAGCACGGCCGTAGAATTTGGCGAGAAAAAAGGTGGCGTTTGCTTGGGATTCAGGGCTTTTGATCCATTGCAAACAAGGCCTAATGCTACAATTATCGCTGCAGCCTTTGCGCAGGACCCGACATCCATTGCAACTCAATCGCATTTTGAAAATGGTTCGAAAAAACCCAGAATGCAGGAGAAAAGATCAAAACTAATATCAAATCAGAGTAATTGATGTCTGGATTTGTTTACGAGAAAATAGATTGAAAGCAGGTGAATTGGACAAGAGAGAAGGAAATTTGGGAGACTGAACGAAAGAGAGAAGTGAGAGAGTATTTAAGGGAAGAAAAAAATTAAAAAAAAAGTAGGCGGCGGCCGCTTGGTTTTCAGGGTTCAGGGTATGCAGCAGTTGTTTTTATTTCCAAAAACATGGTTTCAACATGCAAGGAGCCACTAGCTAGACACTTTGATTTTTCACCACTTTCAGTTAACGCGCGTGTAAGTCGCTCTCTTCAAGGATCGACGTGGATACGTACTAAAAGTTTGTACTCCCTTCCTGGGTACGACAACTCAAACAATACACCTCGTGAATGTAATGGGGTAGCTGATTGCTTTGGCAAACTCGCGTGGAACCTTCCTCAAGGTGCTCAAACCTTTCACCAACTTCTCCTGCTGAAGTTCTCCAGGCACTCAAAAAAATATGCCAGAAACGAAACACCCACTTCGGGGAAAACAACTATGTACACTAAATTACCACTAATTGTTTATCTAATTTACAATCGTTTATAAAAAATACATCCTAGTTACGATAACAAAACGGAGATTTCACGTACAAATCAAATTATTTTAATGGTAAAAAAATTATCGTTGATCTTAGGTTCGAATAATATGAATATCAAATGTATGAATGTTGAATATTTAATATATTATATATAATGAGTAAATTATATGAATAGTATTATTTGTTTTTTATCTGATCGATTTTGGCCACCAATTAAAAAATGAAGGGTATATAATCCATAACGTTATTGATCCGTTCGATTTTAGTCTCTTAATTATGTAACATATTCGTTAAGAGTTAACGGTAAAGAAATTTAAACTGAACGAATCGATAATGTTAGAGGTCGTTTACTCTTAAATTTTAAATTAATAACCAAAGTCAGACAGTATCAAGATAAAAGAGATTATTCGCGTAGTGTACCCACATAATATTAATATATTACTTAGCCTTAAGAGTGTTTAAATTTTAGTATTAATAGAATGATTAATTGAATTTTATTCGATTGGTTAATGGGTTAAATCAAAAAATATTTGATCCGATTGAACCCCTAGTTCCAAATGTTGAGAAAGGAAGATAACAGCGCGTGACAGGCACGTTCGGTGCCAGAGTGCTGTCGAATCGCTACATAAAATCAGTGGAAGGGAGAGATATGATGGGCTACGGGAACCTCTTGGTGATTTAAAAAAAAAAGCTCCTGGTTTTCGGTAAGTTGGTGTGAGCTCAAAAACCGCTTTTCGATAGGGTAAGCGAAAACCAGTGACTGGTTTCCGGTTTTGGGAAGACGGGACCGTGGGCGCACTACTACAAGACCCTCAACCAATGGGATGATAGCTAAGCTCGAGCTTTATCTCCTATTACAGTAAATTAATGAATATATTTCGGTTTAAACTCTATCTTATCATATTAGTTTGTGTTAATGTGTAGAATTTAAATTATTATTAGTTTTAGAGAGTGACACCTGTTTTCTTTTAACTATTTTAGCAACAAAAAAAAATTATAGATTAAAGGGTAAACTTCACATGATATCATTAAACTTTAGACGATATATCATTAATAATATTAAAATTTTAATTTATTCAATTACAACACTTTGGATTCAATTATAACACTTGACCTTTAAATTTTAACGACACAACGATGTGAATAGATTTTTCTGTTACTGTGGGGATGTAGACAAAACGACACCATTTTAGTGTGTTTCTTGATGTCTAAAATGACGTTGTTCTTGTCAATAAACTTTATGAATGTATCAATTTTGCGATTATATTTTAAAATTAGTTCAATTTTAGACATTGAGCCTTTTCAATTGTTGGCTCTCAATTGTCATCTATCATCGCTCACCATTCGCGACAAAATTGATATAAAAATGTTCACATTTTCCTTCTCTTTCTTCTCATCAAATTAATATTTTACGAAATTTACTCAAAATCGGAAAATTACAATATATATATCCTTAACAATATCGGTACTATTTAAGGCAAAAAAATAATGATTTAAGTATGCAATTTGCTACACTATAGTATGATTTCCTTGAACAATATCAGTACTATTTCAGGCAAAATAAATAATGATTTCAAGGGAAGTGATACAATATTAAATATTGTTTATACCACAACATATTATTACAAAATACATATCATTATTGACATGGCATTCATCAGCTTCTTTAACAATTTTATTATTAGAGGACATGTTTAGCAAACATAGATAGTTTGAGAATGAAATTAGAACATTTAAAATTTTAGGAATCAATTTAAATTAAGGGTTATAATTTAGGGATGAAATTGGATTGTTCAAAAGTTTAAGGGGTAATTTAGGAGTCGTAGTTTGAGAATGAAATTAAAATATTCAAAGTTCAAGGACCAATTTAAAAGAAA